CTCGGTTGTTAGGTCAACCAAATACCCAAATGTGTGTGTACAAACAAAAAAAGGTGCATTTTGCATAATATGTATCCTTTAATATACTATTATGTATAGTGTAGAGTTCAGGGCTAGGTGATTAATCCAAGATTTGCCGAAGCTGACAATATGCATCTCTTACAACCTAGTGTTCCCAATATTGATATTAGATAAATGCATACTGTAATAAGCTGTTTAATTTTATTGTCCATCTAATTCAACTGAATGTAAAGCAGACAATCACATCCTGAAAGACAAACGTGTTGCAGTGTTTCTTCTAGGATTTTTTTAGCAGTGGGGGCAGGCCTGTCCGAACACCTGCTACAGTAAGTATGTGTTCGCAGCTGAAAATAAAATTTAAATACATTTCTCAGACACCAATACAGTGAATCAAGTTTGTAATAAAGTGCTACAGAGTTCAAAGCAACGTTACAAACAATTACTTGAAGATAGATGTGCGACCCATTAGGTGGCAGCATACGTCAGGGGCTGCACTGTTTCAGTTCATATGACATTTGTATATACGTTTATTCTGTTATTCTGAGGCAAGTTATAAGACAGCTGTGTTTACTTATCCACCGAAGACAAAACACGTATCGGCATTTGGCGGCTGTTAAAGCCACTTCATTACTAAACTGATAAAGTTGCCTCAGCAAATGATCGCTTATGGTATAACTTTCCGCTACTTAACTGTTGTTGTCTGATTTATTGTTGAGTTCACAGCAACTAATGTTACTAAAACACTTCCGCTCCAAGACGAGCCTACTTCTTTCAGAATAAAAGCACCAGCTTAGTTAACTTTACTCGTACTTAGTAACACACTCCATACGAATACTCTATACTGACAGTAATATATTAACTTGCCAAACACTGTCGATAAATAAGTTGACTGTGAATTTATGGCGTGGTTTTATTTTGTCTGGCCTTATCCCCTTATAGCGTTTATGAATTAACTGTTATAATCAGTCATTTCTATTGTTGTTGCTGCTGTTGTTGTGTACCCAAATGTATTCGTTTGATACGACATTATTCAGATGCATATAATGTATATTAAGATAACATAATAAATAATTAATACTAAAGGCAAAACAGAGGAAAAGACATTATATGTTTTCCTCTGTTTCGTCTTTATTAGCTCTTTAATAAATAGTTGTGTTTATACATGCTGACCTATTTAATATTGCAACACCACAATCTCATTACTATTACTATTTCATTTCTGTCGGTACATATTGTGGAATACATTTACATTTACTTTGTATATATTATTAGTATATATTGTGTACATATTTTAGGTACATAGGCTCTTATTATATTTCTATTTTTATTTTTCTATTTTTTACTTGTATATACCTATACATACATTTCTATTCTATTGTGTTAGATATTTTAATATATGAATTAGTATTTAACTGTGACAAACAATTTTCCCCCCCGGGATCAAAGTATTTCTGATTCTTAAACTGATAAAACAAAGGGTGAGAGAGGTCGGAAGATTCGCCAGAAAACTCAAAGAAGAAGAAGACGTTATGCGATATGGTCACAGATCAGCAAAGGCAGTATCTCGACGGGTGTACAGTTGGGACCGGACTGTGAATGGACAGGAGATGGCAGATTGAAGTGACGGATCAGGAAATGAGTTAGGAATTGAGCTAGGTGGCGGGAGAAATGAAAGTTGGAGTGAAGTGAAAGCAGGGAAAGCCAGGAGAAAACGCAAGAAAGTGGGGCAGAAAGGAAGGAGCTCAATGTCAGAAGAAACAGATAGTGAGCAAACGAGAGGGGATGAGGAAGAGCATAAAGTAATCATCAGACTGGACGAGAAGGTGCTTCATTTGGTGAGTGGAACCCGGTTCTACTTACCAAGGGGATAAACAGTCTAGTTGGAGAGATAAAGAGTGCGAAAGTTCTGCGCAGTGGAGCACTGTTGATTCTTTGCAGAGACAGCGCACAACTAGGAAAAGCGATTAGACTGAATAAGATTGAGGGGAAGAAAGTTAAAGCAACGATAGCTAAGGGTGGGGGTCTCAATCGAGGAGTGATTTTTGGGATTCTTGTTAGGGTGTCTACTGAACAGATAAAAGAAAATGTGAAAGGTGCAAGAGTGAGGGATGTCAGACGCCTGAAAACTACTTGTGAGGGCCAAAAATGTGACAGTCTGTCGGTGTTGCTTTACGTTTGATGAGGATCAAATCCCTGATAAAGTGTTTATCGGATATATGAGCTATGATGTTAGACTCTATGTTCCTCCGCCGCTGAGGTGCTTCAAATGTCAGAAATATGGGCATGTAGCGGCAGTATGTAAGGGTAAACAAAGGTGTGGAAGGTGTGCAGGGGAGCATGAATATGGGAAATGTGAAAGTAGAGCTAAACTCAAGTGCTGCAACTGCGGAGGGGAGCATACTTCTGCATATATAGGGTGTGATGTTAGTATGAGAGCAGAAGAGGTGCAGCGAGTGAAAACATCCAAAGGGGTCACATACACGGAAGCGGTCAGAAAGGTGGGGATGCAGCCAAACGGCAGTAGTGTTAAGATGGCAGACAGGCATGAAATGAGAGCATGTGAGGGATGTAGAAGAATTAAAGAGGACACGCTGATTGTGGAGAAAAGGCAGTTTATACTGTTCATGGTTGATGTAATTAATTGTACTGCGCAAACAGACAAGAAAACAGAAAAAATCAAAATAATAGTGAAAGCAGCAGAGAAATATCTGGGAGTTGAGGCCATTGAGTGGGAGGAAGTGGAGGACGTGTTGAAAGTCATAAGTATATTGCAGTGGAATGCAAGAAGTCTTGTAGCTAATGGGCAAGAGCTTAAGAAGTTTGTCTTAGGTATGCAGGATAAACCCAGTATAATTTCTGTTCAAGAAACATGGCTGAGAGCGCAATGGGATTTCATAATAGAAGGATACACCGCTATAAGGAATGACAGGAAGATGGGGAAAGGTGGTGGGGTGGCCATTTTTGTTAGAAATGGAAAGTGAGTCCATAACAATAAAGATTTGGACAGGCAAATATGAGCTAGCAATAATTAATTACTATAATCCATGCAACAAATTAAGTGTAGATATATTGAATATGGTGGTGGGGGAAGTGCAGGGGAAAGTAGTGTGGTGTGGAGATTTTAATGCACATAGCACTCTATGGGGGAGTGAGAGAACTGATGCAAATGGTTCAATAGTAGAAGAATTTATAGAAGATAAAGGATTAGTATGTATGAATGACGGGAGGGGAACGAGGTATGACTGTGTGCAAAATACGGAGAGTGTGATTGATTTTAAGATGACATCAAATGAAATAGCAGGCATCACTGCTTGGGAGGTGCTAAATGAAACATTAATGGGTAGTGACCACTATCCAATCATTATTAAGATTGGAGTAGAGTTGCAACGGGAGGAAGACAAGAGATTGCCAAGATGGAAAATTGATAAAACTAATTGGGGATTCTTTCAAGAACTGAGTAGAAACAGACTTGAACAATTACATAAAGAGGAATGGGCAGATGTGGATGATTTGAATAAGGGAGTAGTCACAGCTGTAATAAAATCAGCAAATGAGTCGATACCAAAAGCATCAGGGTGCAGAAACAAAAACAATATGCCGTGGTGGGATGAAAATTGCAGACAAGCAATTAGAGTACGGAATAGGGCAAACATCATTCAATGGAGTTGTTAGTTCAGTATAAAAGGTTGCAAGCAGTGGTTAGAAGGAAGGTTAGAGCAGCTAAGCGTGTATGCTGGAGACAATATTGTAGTGAGATAGGTCGGGAGGTACAGTTGTCAGATGTTTGGGGAATGATCAGGAAAATGAGTGGAATAAGAAGGAATATAACAATCCCAATACTAACAAGTAACAGTAGAACAGCGGTTAGTGGTTTAGAAAAGGCGATGCTATTTGCTGAAACACTAATTAAAGTTCATAGTTCAGAAAATCTTTCAGCAGAGGCTAAGCAGCAAAGGAGTACTATGCTGGCACAAAATACATGGGTTAACAAGAAAAAACTAACAACGGAAGAGAATCTGGATCTTCCATTCAGTATGTATAAGTTAAGGAGGGCCATCCCCAGCGCCCGGCAGTCAGTGCCAGGGATAGATAACATGGATGACAGGTCACTAGAGGTAATTAATTGAAATTAATTAACAGAGTATGGGATTTAGGGGAGATTCCAGCTGAATGGAAGCACTCGGTTATAGTGCCAATTTTAAAACCAGGTAAAGTTGCATCAGACCCATCAAACTACAGACCAATTGCTCTTACATCTCAATTAGGGAAAACTATGGAAAAGATGGTAAGAGAGAGGTTGATGTATTTCATAGAAAGTAGAGATTTATTTTCTTCATGTCAGAGTGGGTTTCGTAAAGGGAGAAATACAATGGACTCAGTATTGTGCTTAGAATCAGAAATTAGGAAAGCACAAACAAATAAAGAGATAGTGGTTGCTGTGTTTTTTTGACACAGAGAAAGTGACATATTGTGGAAAGAAGGCCTGCTAATCAAACTGGATAAATTGGGAGTGGGAGGGAAGATATATAACTGGGTGTTGTGCTTCCTGTTTGGGAGGACGATAGAGATCAGATATACAAAAACAGGTGGGGAAAGGAGGAGTGGTCATTACCCAAGATTAGGGCACACGGAGCTTAATAGCACGCTACACAGAATTGGTAAACATCCTACTGGTAAATGTAGATTGTGTGATCATCCCGAATCTGTGCAGCATGTTCTTATGGAATGCAAGGGACATGAGAGAGAGGAGAGAACTAAAAGCAGCACTGCAAAGGGAAAAAGTGAGCTTCACGGTAGGTAACATGTTGCAAAGATCAGAAAGCATTAGGAAGTATGTGAGTAAGTACTTGAGGGAAACAGGGTTAATGGATAGGGTTTAATATATGGATATAGATATGAATTTTTTTCTTTTTTTCTCTGTCATCTAATGTACCACACTCCAGTCCGGTAGGTGGCGGCAATGCACCTATAAGCTGGATGCCAGCCGCAAATCAAATCTAAAAGAAGAAGAAGTATCTTGACGGCAGGCCTGTCTGTTCATTTTAAACAGCCAAACACGCAAGTATGTTTTTGTATTAAACGCTTTACTCTTGTGAACAATATTTTGTTGTCTCAACGTCTTAATGGGTAAAGAACACGCTTAGCTGTTTCAGGATTGGCAGTTCATCCTGAAAAACTGAAAGCTGACAAATTAGCGTCAGTTAGCTAGAAAGCTAACAGCTGAGCATTATTGTGTAACGTTAGTTACAACTTCCCTTAACTTTCGGTAGCGGAAGACAGAAAGCCAATTGAGGCAACTGGCCTATTATGTTGACTGAAATGTATTTATAACGCATGTTACCAATACGTCCCCATTATAGTTGATCAAATATCACTTAACGTTACATTCTTTCATTTTGACTGAATGTTTCGACGTTAACAGGCTAACTTGTTAGCAAGCTAACCTAGCAAGTTAAAGTCTCCCCCGTCTGAAAAACAATGAACTCCTCATTCTTCCGGAACAGAAAGACTATGTGACACGTAGCATGGGTTGGTCAAGGAGTCTGCTATATTGTAAAAAGAAAATAGATTCGTTAACCTAACTGAAAAATAGGTTGTTTATACCTGCCGAATTGATGCTCTTCGTACAAGTGGTCAACCTTGGGCTCACACTATTATTGTCTTACTTATAGCTAGGAAATATGGCAGTAACAGTTAGTAAAGAAACTAGTGATTGAATTAACTGGTGATACTGAGGCAGATGTGCATAAGCGTGGCTTTTGAGGACCCTTAGTGCCTTACCAGGAAATTAGGACTTTAACTACTTCAACACTATGACATTCATTTGTTGGTGACTTTTGAAACACTGCAATAGAAACACTTTGCTGGAACAATCATTTTGGTGTCGGCTCCTCACTATGGAGCTATTATCCACTGTCATGGTGACGTCAAACAATGTTTACTTGGTAGTCCTTCCCAAGTACACATTGAGGAGAGTCCCTTCAGGTATCATATATTGTAATCATACAATAGATGTACAATACGTCTTAGAAATACTCACTATTTTAAATCATTTCAACTCACCAAAATTAAATTGTTTATAATATTATATTCCCCTGCATGACACTGGTTGCGATGGTGGGCTCAAAGCTCATCGTTTCTGATGTAAAAAAATAAAATAAAATAAGGAAAAGGAAAATCCTTCACAAAAACATCTCCAGATGTCTCCGTCGAAGCAGTGTGGAGAACTTTGTAAGCTGTGGCAGAGTGCTCACTGTAAATCTGTATTTACAGTTGATCGTGCTTATTATCAACTGTACTTGTTTCTAGTCTTCCGACCAAGCGCTTTTACACTACATGCTACATTTGCCCTTTCACACACATTCACTCAGTGATGGCAAAGCCCATTGAACAGCAACTAACTCATTTATACACATTCACACACCAATGCACAGCATCGGGAGCAATTCGGGGTTAAATATCTTGCTCAAGGATACTTCGACGTGGTGGGAGGAGCCGGAGATCGAACCAACAACCTTGCGATTAGTGGTTTATAAGGAGTACGGTCTAGACCTGCTCTATTTTGAAAAGTGTCATGAGGTGACTTCTGTTATGATTTGTTATACAAATAAAATTGAATGGAAATGAATTGGACAACCCAATCTGCCTCTGAGCCACAGACTGCCATGCATTCAGGTTTTATAATTGTGCCGCATTTACCAATGTGACTGTCACAAGGTTATCACTTTATAATCACTGTCCAATTTACTCAAAATCCCACAAAGTTGTGACGTGAATTGGATTTGTATAGTGTAGACCCTCTACTGATTATAGTCTTATCATTATCCATTTTCTGTTCCTATATCAAAATGAGATTTGGCAGCTGTCTAATTTGGATGGAAGAATTTGCTGCCATGTATAAAATATTGTGATTGGTGAGATAAAAGTCTGTAGACGCGACATAATCGATGGTAAAATGTTATAGGCTATCACCACTTGATCTGGGTGTATCAGCTTTGCCACAGCTGACTCCACACTATGTTAAACATATACTGCAGACTGTATGTTTCCTTACAGATTAGAAGTGTTAGAAATTAATCAAATTAGCGATGCATCACGATGCTGCATCGATGCAGTGGCCGACCATAATCGATTATAACGCAATGATGTCGCTCGTTAATTTACGGCCGCGGCATACACATTCAAATGAAAAATAACATTCTCAGTAGACCATTTTTTGAGGGTCTTGGTCTTGTCTCGGAATCGAGGGCATTTTTACTCGGTCTCGGACTGGACGGACTCGGGTTTTTTTAACGAGACCGGTCAAGACCACCGCCAGTTGCGGACTGGCCATTGGGGGCACCGGGACATTTCCCGGTGGCCTGGCCGCCGAATTGGCCCGCTCGGCGATTGCCGATGGTCGATATCAAAGGCTCGGTTCGGGTCGCGCTTGATATTTACGATCACTAGGGTCTGAAGCTCACACAGAATGAGCAGCAGCGTTGGGCACAAACACACCCCCTCTACTCTTTTTCTGAGGCTCTCTGTCACAGCACTGCAGGCACACACACACACACCAAGTTGCGACCCCGCCCCCCTCCGCTCTCCTCCCTCACCTGTAGTTCTACATGCTTGAAAAATAGAGCGAGATCGACAGCCGTGTGTGTGCTGTCTGCCGTGTTCAGACTGTTAAATAAAAACGATTGTTTACTACTCTACTAAGATCTTACTACTTGTATTTTTGGATGAAAACAACCATATGAAGTAATATAGAAAACTATTATATTGAACTATACAATATCATAATGCATTCCGTCAAATATCCTATATGGCTTTAATAGAAAAATGTATTTGACGCATCGTGATGCATCGAGGAATCGAATCGAAGACATGATAATCGTAATCGAATCAGGAGATCAGTGACAATTCATACCTCTATTACAGACTGTATGAAAGTATAAACTGTTCTCAAATAGACGTGACATTAGATTCATAATATGTAAAACGACAGCAAGGACATTTTCTGAATTATTTATTGATAATTTCAGTGTTTTGAACAGGCATCAACACAGTCACCTACTTTGCCTATCTCTTCAAGCGTCCGGAGATCGCCGTCACAAATAAAGTTCATTCAAACTCCAGGTAACTCAGTTAATCTTATTAGACATCAGATATCAGTATTTACAATGTTAAGGATTTCGTTCTGGTTGGTCAAAAAAAAAGAAGTAAATTTAGCCAGTATTTCTAGTGTACAAATCTTAAACTGTCACACCGGCTGTGTGCTCACCATAAAACACTTTTATTCATTTATCAGTGAGGTGTGTGGATTTGGAGACTAGAGTCTGTCAACGGTGATGACCAATGCGTGTCATGTCGCTTAATGGCATCCAACTTTACCTTAAAAGGAAGCGAGAAGAAGGAAAGTAATGAGGGAATATGTTTTTAGAGAATTGAGACTTCCTTTCCTCTTCAGATGAGGGTGCCAGCTGATCACAGCTGGATCAGCTGTCAGTTGGCTTTGACAGCTCTAGGTTGGGCTGTCGGGTCAGTTGTAATGCCAGGTAAGAACCTGTTTAACAACATGAATAAGAACTTGCATTATATTGATGAGCAGATCCCAGTTAAAACTGCAGTCACTAAAACTGATCTGACAGGATATTATTCTGATTAATTAATCAGATCTATTAATCAGATTATTTAATCTGCTATTAATAGCAGATGGATTGATGGTGTGTGAAATAGGATGGATTTACACATTAGGTACAGCAGCATAACTTCATTAATTATTTAAATCTCCCGACACGCTGACAGGATGGTCAGGATCTATTTTTATTAATGTTTTGTGTTCTTGTACACATCTAAATAGTCACACACACAGATCAGGTGCATACTGTTACTGAGAAACAGTTTGGAGCAAAGCAGCCTTCCTCCTGATAAATACTCTGTTTCCTCTGGAGGGTTTCTCTGTCCTGTCCTCAGGCGAGGAGCAATACCCCAGATAGATCTGTATTATATACGCTTGTTTCGAAAATTAAACAACTGTGTCCTCTCGGTAATGCATTATTGTGAACTATTATGAACTGGTGTGGGTTATGTCTCTTGCCAGGCGCACCCCAACCAGGGGCTTCCAGTGTCCTCCAGCATTCATTGAGCTCTAGCATGACCATCCAGGGCTACTCTGCTGGTGGACCAGAGGGGATAGGAGATCATCAAAGCCTGTGTCCACGACCAGTGTCTAATTTAGGCTGTCCTCTCGTGTCCACACCTCCCTGGATGCAGGGACACAGTGGCCTCCACTGTTGGAGGTGCGCCTGGCGAGAGGCGTGACCCACACTAGTTCATCATAGATTATAATTTTGCATAGTAGGAGGAGGATACAGTCATTTCGAAGTATATAAGCGTATATATAATGCAGATTTATGTGTGTCACTGTTGACAGAGACTCCAGTCTACAAATCCACACATTTGACTGATAAAGTTATTCAAGATGAGCTTCTCAGCTGTCCTCCTGTGTCCACAAGCCCCTGGGAGGACAGCTGAGAACAGGCACTGCCGTGGGCACAGACCATGCCAATCTCCCTTTCCCCCCTCCGGTTCTCCAGCGGAGTTCCAGGGGATGAGGATGCAGAAAAGAGCCTGCTGGCGCTTGCTGGAGGCTGGAAACAGGATTTGGGTTAGGCTCAGGGGGGGCTGAGACCCAGCATGGAGAGCGATCGAGCTGGAGGTATCACGTTAATTCAGAAATATAGCAGTCTTTTACATAAAAATGTATAATTACGGCATAAGAAAAACAGCCATGTTTTCTTATTCTGTACCTTTTTTTTATGATGTTTTTTTCCTCTGTTTGGCTGCAGGCAAAGCTCAACGCCTAAGGAACAAGCACGCTTTGACAGAGATGTCATACGGCAAAGCAGAGACCTACCGCCCTGTCCCGCGGGACTTCAGCACCCTCATACAGACATGCAGCTCCAACATACAGAAGATCACACAGAACAGTAAGTGCTTCGCTGCCAACTATGGTTACTCACTGTCAGCCTGAAGTCTTAAACCAGTTTTTACTGTTTGTTTTATGTTTACTTTGATTCTTAAATTAGGATTACTATGGTGGACCGTAATTCTTTCACTTCACACATATGTTGAAAATAACTTTGTTCAACTTTGATTCTATCATTGTCAGTGTGATACCATGTAGGGCTTGGAAATTGAGGAAGGAGGAAATATTTGATACATTTTTGGTAATTTTGTTAAAGATAAAAAATAAGTCTGTTTAATAGTCAACATTTTCGTGATTTCAAAACTTTCTACCCTCACTAATTTGGTCGTGTATGGCCATGGCTCATTGATGCATGTGAGGAGCAAATGCTGACCTGTGTGCAGCTACTGTAGCTCAAATTGTTGAAAAAGTTCATCTGTTAAAATCTAATGACAGTTTTCTGGTGAGTCATAATTATTATTCTGCTTATTACATTCCTTTTGTAAGGCCATACCATCCCCTGGCATATAAATAACCAGATATTTTTAGTCATATTTATATGCACACATGCACCATTGGCCAGGACAGGTGTTGTTCCTATACTGCAGAATTTTAATACACATGAATTCTTTCATTACCATTACTGAGACTCACTTATCACTTATTGTTCTCATGATAGCTGCTCAGATAAAGATCATGGTGAACCAGCTGGGGACCAGACAAGACACCAGTGAACTCCAGGATCGTCTGTATGTATCAACCTTATCTCCAGCTATATTGTTTTTTTTGGTCTGCCAAACTCAGACAAACACTGTCACTTTTGTATAGTCACTGTGATCTGTTACGGACAGTTAGAACTGCCCCAGAGCTGTTACACTCCAAAATCAAAAATCAGAAATGTAAAACATGTTTATTGAGTCTTTGGCATCTTGGTAGGTATATTTAAAGTACACAATGTCATCCAGAAGGCATGTCAAAACTGGGAAATATTGTATTGCGATAAATATGTTTTGTTATATTGTATCTATTTATAAAAACACTTGATATTTGTGTTTAAACGCCCAACTGCTAGATAGCAGTGTTGTAAACATACATTGAGGGCTATGATGCTGGATATTAGTTATTGTGTAAAATACAAGTACAGATCCTGCTGTTCTGGTTGCAAATAAATCAATAAATTACCAAATATATATGCAGTTAAATGCACCAAAAATTATATTAAAATAGATAAAGGCATCAATAGTTATGTTAAGGGCTGCCCCCAACTGAAGATTTTCCTAGTCAACTAATAGTCGTTTAAAAAAAATAGCTAATCAACTAGTCACTGCCCTTTTCTGAATTATTTAGATATATAGATATATAGATTTAAATGATAATGGAAAAAGCCATAATGATTCTGAATGTTTCAAAACAACCAGCAAGGGCACTGAACATTTAGTTTATTTATTTCAACAAGTCTTTTTGTTCAAAACACGAAACAAATAACTTTCAACTTCCATCAAAACAAATACGGTACTTACAAATTAACATGCTACAAACCTGCTGTTTCTTCTGTTTGATGCCTCTCCTGTCGCTGCCTGAACCGTGTTTCCACTCTGCTCTAGTTCTGTCATTCATTCCGGCACTGTTTTCCTCCCTATTTCTGTCTCCAAACATATTTATTTCTGAATTTTGGTTTTACTTTTCTGTATGCATTTATTATATTGGTGCATTTAATGGCATATTTATTTATTTTTGATTTTGATACTTACTAAGTAACAGCTATACAGGAAACAGGAAAGACAACAGTTACTTAGTCACAACTAAGCAAGTCAGACAAAAATAAATTTCCAAATTCTCTGTTATGTATTATATTTTTTAATGCCATTATTTTACTTGAAATTAAAAAATATCATTTATTTAGAGTACTGTGGCAACCCAGGGGACTTGGAGGCAAGATAGATAGGCAGACAGTTGACATGACACTAAGTGAAAGGGGAGGGGGTCAGACTTAAACTGAAGATTCCTCCTGTCCGGGGTGATTTGTCATTTTATCATTCTCTCAAGGGGGTTTGGTCCACTATCCTGTTGAGTAGAGCAGAGAGAGTGGTGAGTCTTTGTAGTAAGGGAGATCAGGTTGGTTTTCAGGAGCAAATGATTTGCTTTGCCAGCCTTTTCGTGAAAGCATGAGTGGTGTTTACTGTTTGAGCCTTTGTTCAAACTCCCTCTTGCTCTGTGGCCCCTTGGTGAGTGCATGCTTCCCCTAATTACCTGATGGCTGGCTGTACGTGTGTTCAGTGCCATGTTCCTTGTGGCTGCAACACCTGAAGAGGATGGGTGCTTTTCATTACGCTAACTTAACTGTGGCTCAGAGGCAGAGCGGGTCGTCCTCTAATCGGAAGGTTGTTGGTTCGATCCCCGGCTCCTCCCGCCACACGTCGAAGTATCCTTGAGCAAGATACTGAACCCCAAATAGCTCCTGATGCCATGCATCGGTGTGTGAATGTGTAGTTTCTGTTTGATCGCTGAGTGAATGTGTGTGAAAGGGTGAATGTGGCAAAAGTAAAAGCGTGGTAAAAGCGCTTTGAGTGGTTGGAAGACTAGAAATGCTATACAAGTACAGGTTCATTTATCATTTACCATTTATGCTTCCTCACATCCTCTCTACTGTGACCTGGAAATCGTAAAACCTAATTGACAGCTTATCTTAAAATGATTCCTTATTCTCCTACTTCAACACATAACATAGATGGTAACATGGTGAGATGCAATATAATAAGGTTGGGCGACTGGACGAATGTATCGGCAATGGGCAATTGTTGGACTGTTCCTCAACCCTACAATATAATGCAGATCAGTCAGTTTGACAGGTCAATGAAAAGCACCTGAAAAACACTCGTATTTCTATCTATTCTATTTCCCCCAGTCTGAGCTTGGGGATCTGCCACATGTGCTGGATTGGCTTGACAGTTTCCCTTGGTTTGCCGGAGTAGTTATTATTTCTAATCCCCCAGTTCATTGTGAAAACTGACAATAAATATTGCTGAAATATAATTTAATTGTATTTTTTTATTGATTGCAATAAGTTGTTGCCTACATACAGATAATGGTACAATTACTAGGCACTTAATTTATATTGCACTGATTCATAGTGCAAGTTAGATATTGTGTTTTTCTGGACATTTGCTTTTGGAAAATTTCTCTAACTGGATCTCTTGAAATTTCACTTTTGCTAATTAATACAGAGCAGACACAACAGAGTGAATAAAATATGCGAAGGCACATGGTAGTGGGGCTCAAGCACTATATGCTTGAATCCTGTATTATCTATGACAGAGTATAGTCACATATTCACAGCGATGAACACTATAGAAATAATTATTACTTTTGACAATGATGATTAATGACATTAATAATCCTTCTTGACCACTATCAACACACTGATGAAAACTAACTGACGACAGCGTGCTCTGTATTTACTAGGTCTAGAGTGATCCGTCATTTCCGGTTTTCATTTTTTTTGGGCAACAACACAGATTAGCGCCGCCTGCTGTTATGGGGACGTATTACGCCTCACGCACGTGCAGAACGTATGCTCCAGTCGGCGTCGGTTTGGTGTGTTCAGAGGCACTTTTTTGCCCGGCTCGGGGAGACGGGAGCCGACTGATCAGTCCGACTGCTTTTCTGCCGACGATCGGCTGTCGGGTTGGTGTGTCCTGGCCTTTAGAGGCCCACATCTGCAGTATGATAAACACATTGCAAAATTTTAAAATTTTAAAAAATTTTTTTAAGAGATGCATATAGAAATCCATTATTAAACAGGCCCTGGAGCTAAAGATCAGAGTATTTATTATGGCGATGCAGCTTCTGTCACACACACACACACAGGCTTTTTCTCTCATAGGTAATATGCGTTTCAGCAGTAAAGCTGAAAAAAAATAACAAAGCTGCTCAAGAAAGAACCAAAGAAATAAATATTTTAAATTACATAGCATCATATTCCTTTGCATCTCATTGCATTGTGTTGAATCGCTTTGTGTTGAATCAAATCATGTGAAATCGTACTGCATCAGAATAGGGCTACATCATTTTGCATTTGTAGTTGTTTCATATGTATCGCATAGTGGGCGATGGTGATGCACATCCCTACAGTATACATTGAGCTTGACTAACTCGGCTAAACTGACGGCTCGGTTAGCATCCTCGAGCTGATGGAAAACAACTGGTGCATTGCCAAAACTTTACGGGTAAGAATTTCTGTTGCACATGTGCAAGTAGCACATATAAATATGCTATATTAACAGAGCTTTTTTGGGTCACAGGGTGTACATGTACGGTTACACCCCTAGTACTGTGACGTACTAGAAAGGTGTGTACTTAATTATGCAGGGTCATGTGTCATCTTGGGTAGTCTGGAAAGGTAGTCTCTAAGTGTAGAGCAACTCCCTTAACAGATTGACTAGCACTCTTTTGTTATTCTAAATTGTTGGTATTTTCACAGGCAGCAGATACAACACTATACCAACCAACTGGCAAAAGAAACCAACAAGCACCTGAAAGAGTTGGGATCAATCCCCTTGGCCTCATCACCTTCAGAGCAAGTAAGTTACAGTCTACATATGTCAATACATCACTAGTATACATGATGACAATGAGTGAAAGTGACTGTGGCATTTATCTGTCACTTCACCCTCTGTCAGCACTAATAATGGCATAATGTCAGCGGCATTCGGCATTGTTTCCTTCCTGAAACTCAACTCGCTATTTTTCTATGATTTCCTGCTGAGAGTGAAATTGGCTCATTCTCTATGCTGTAAGCCATATTGTTGATGATGTTATATTTATTTCATTATAATTGTTGAAAAAATAATAATAATTAAAAGTGGATTTTACCTTGCATGTGACTTCCATGTTAAGGTATCACTCAAAAGTAGATGAAAATAACAAATGATTAACATGAGCGAATAAAGTGACCCAAACTCACCAAGTTCACAAGTGAAATATAACCATCAACCACCCTTTCTCATGGTTCCTCAATTGTTGTAAATGAACAGAAGAAAATTATTAAATGTCATCTGAATATCAGCTTAGAGTGAAGTCCCTCTGTGGTTATGACCAACAGCCACTAGGCAGCAACTAAAGTCTTGGCTGTCTCAGCCACTCCTTACTGCCTTTTTATTACCTCAGCAAGGAGCTGTGGTTATGTGATATCAAATATTGAAAATATTTCAAAGAATAGGCTACATTGACTCTTTTTTACTTTCCCATTCCTAACTTAACTCACAGAATACTTTGTTTTGCTTTTCCCTTCAGTAATCTTTTACACTCATGCACAGACCTACTGTGGTCCTTGTCTCTACCACACATATACACTATAGATAGGTCCCTGTATGTGTCTTTGTTGACTTTCTTCAGAAGTATGTTTTATAAAGTTGCTCAAAAAACACAACTTGTTCAAATTTCACCTGCAATTCCGTTTTCGCAACAGCAGGTGATCTCCTTGTTAAAGAAGTAGTATATCTGAAGGATATCGGCACCAAGTTAGAGAGACGCTGCATACAGTTAGGTCCATATATATTTGGACACTGACACAATTTCTGTTATTTTAGCTGTTTACCAAAACATATTCAAGATACAGTTATATAATCAATATGGGCTTAAAGTGCAGACTCTCAGCTTTAATTTGAGGGTATTCACATCCAGATTGGAGGGAGGGTTTAGGAATTACAGCTCTTTAATATGTAGCCACCTCTATTTCAAGGGACCAAAGGTAATTGGACAATTAATTCAAAAGCTATTTCATGGGCTGCATGGGCTAGTCCCTCGTTAACCCATCATTAATTAAGCAGGTAAAAGGTCTGGAGTTGATTCCAGGTGTGGCATTTGCATTTGGAAGCTGTTGCTGTCAACCCACAACATGTGGTCAAAGGAGCTCTCAATGGAAGTGAAACAGACCATCCTTAGGCTGCAAAAAAAGAAGAAATCCATCAGAGAGATAGCGGAAATGTTAGGAGTGGCCAAATCAACAGTTTGGTACATCCTGAGAAAAAAGAGCGCACTGGTGAGCAAGTAGAACACTCTCCAGGAAGTAGGTGTATCAGTATCTAAGTCTACCACAAAGAGAAGGCTTCATGAGAGCAAATACAGAGGGTTCACCACAAGGTGCAAACCATTAATCAGCCTCAAAAATAGAAAGGCCAGATTTTTGCCAAAAAACATCTTAAGGAGCCAGCCCAGTTCTGGAACAGCATTCTTAGATGCACAGCATCGGGAGCAATTCAGGGTTCAGTATCTTGCTCAAGGATACTTTGACATGTGGCAGGAGGAGCCGGGGATTGAACCAACAACCTTCCGATTAGGGGACGCCCCATGCATGGTTTCCAACGGCACTGGGTCACTAGTGTTTATTGATGATGTGACAGGAGACAGTAGCAGCCGGATGAATTCTGAAGTGTATAGGGATATACTTTCTGCTCAGATTCAGCCAAATGCAGCAAAGTTGATTGGACGGCGCTTCACAGTACAGATGGACAATGACCTAAAACATACTGCAAAAGCAACTCAGGAGTTTTTTAAGGCAAATAAGTGGAATATTCTGCAATAGCCGAGTCAATCACCAGATCTCAACCCGATCGAGCATGCATTTCATTTGCTTAAGACAAAGGTTAAAGCAGAAAGACCTACAAACATGCAACAACTGAAGACCGCTGCAATAAAGGCCTGGCACAGCATCACAAAGAAGAAAACCCAGCGTTTGGTGATACCCATGGCTTCCAAACTTCAGGCAGTCATTGCCTACAAAGGATTCTCAACAAAGTATTAAAAATGAAAATTGTATTTATGGTAATGTTAATTTGTCCAATTTTTTTGAGCCCTTGAAATGAGGAGACTTTGTTTAAAAATGGTTGCAATTTCTAAACATTTGATAGGATATTTTTGTTCAACCAATTGAATTAAACCTGAAAGTCTGCACTTCAATTGCATCTCAGTTGTTTAATTTAAAATCCAATGTGGTGGCATGCAGAGCCCAAATCAGGAAAATGGTGTCACAAATATTTCTGGGCCTAACTGTATGCCTAGTTTAATGTTTGCTGTAAAAGTCACGTTTAAAGTAAGTTATTTGAACAATACTTATGTGATTGTTGCATCTTTGAAATTATTCTGATGACATCAACTGCAGTGGGCAGCATGCAGGATATGGTCCATGCCTCACTGGCAAGCACAAAAACACACTGACTAAAACAATACAATCTGTCATGGGCAGTTACAATACAGACAAGATGCAAATTGGACACATTTTACCAGCAAACACAATACACAGCCTTTCAGTAACTATTATACTGCAACCTGAACTTAACTACACAATTTATTTTTTATTGTAACATTACTTCCCCTCACACAAGAATCACTTTCCACAACAAACTTGCACAGGCAGCCCACAAGCCAGAGCATGTGAGTGGAGCAGACCGGGTGAAAATTTCTCATTTTCGCATTCTCCGCTCCACTCCGTCATAAATCCGTTTCTTATCCGATTACTTGATTAATCGATAGCCTCAGCCCTAGTCTCGAGAGACAGGGATCATATAATTTAAATCAAAGCTCTCATGCACCAACACATCAATTGTCTGATTTACAGTCAATTGAATTGCCTGCTAACTATACCAGTTCTGTTAAAAATGTATTGATGTTTTTCCATCAAATGACTAGTTAAAGTATTGATAGTTGTATCAATAAAGACTGACTGATAAGCAGTCTCAAAAATGGTATTAATAATTGCAATAAAAATTAACAATAAGAGTATAAGCATAAAAGGAATTTATTAATGTAATTCAGTTCAATTTTATTTGTATGGCGCCAATACATAACAGAAGTTATCTCAGGACACTTTTCAAATAGAGCAGGTCTAGACCGAACTCCTTATAACATTATTTACAGAGACCCAACAGTACCACCATGAGCAAGCACTTGCAACAGGGGCAATCTGTGCAAAACATTAGAGGAAAAATACACACTCAGCAGAATACAGTTCATTCAGGTAACTCTGTTTGGCCAAGGCTGCACTGAAGCAACAAACTCTTCAGGACAGAAAAAGGGGGAGAGGATTTCCTACAAGATCAAAAAATATTACAGGGGTGTTTGTTAGGCTATTTTATGGCGTACATTGTTTATTAGTTATTTATGATAAAAACATTAAATGGGGATCAGGGAAGAAAAAAAACTTGATTGGGACATCTTTACAGTGGTATCAGGAACTGTGGAATACTGAAATAGTATTGGTGTGGGAGATAACTGGTTTAGGAGGGTTAGTAAATGTATATGATCCTGAGTCAGGGGTTGTATTACAGACAATAAGGGTCAGCAGTGGGTCACTGGGACTTTACATTAGTAAAATAAACAAACAGGGGTGGTCACTGTTTTACGATGTACTGAGATGTACAGTGGGTATGGAAAGTATTCAGACCCCTTTTAAATTTTTCACTCTTTGTTTCATTGCAGCCATTTGCTAAAATCAAAAAAGTTCATTGTATTTCTCATTAATGTACACTCAGCACCCCATCTTGACAGAAAAAAACAGAAATGTAGAAATTTTTGCAAATTTATTAAAAAAGAAAAACTGAAATATCACATGGTCATAAGTATTCAGACCCTTCGCTCAGTATTGAGTAGAAGCACCCTTTTGAGCTAGTACAGCCATGAGTCTTCTTGGGAATGATGCAACAAGTTTTTCACTCCTGGATTTGGGGATCCTCTGCCATTCTTCCTTGCAGATCCTCTCCAGTTCTGTCAGGTTGGATGGTGAATGTTGGTGGACAGCCATTTTCAGGTCTCTCCAGAGATGCTCAATTGGGTTTAGGTCAGGGCTCTGGCTGGGCCAGTCAAGAATGGTCATAGAGTTGTTCCGAAGCCACTCCTTTGTTATTTTAGCTGTGTGCTTAGGGTCATTGTCTTGTTGGAAGGTGAACCTTCGGCCCAGCCTGAGGTCCTGAGCACTCTGGAAGAGGTTTTATTCCAGGATATCTCTGTACTTGGCCGCATTCATTTTTCCTTCAATTGCAACCAGTCGTCCTGTCCCTGCAGCTGAAAAACACCCCCATAGCATGATGCTGCCACCACCATGTTTCACTGTTGGGATTGTATTGGGCAGGTGATGAGCAGTGCCTGGTTTTCTCCACACATACCGCTTAGAATTAACGCCAAAAAGTTCAATCTTGGTCTCATCAGACCAGAGAATCTTCTTTCTCATAGTCTGGGAGTCCTTCATGTGTTTTTTGGCAAACTCTATGCGGGCTTTCATATGTCTTGCACTGAGGAGAGGCTTCCGTCGGGCCACTCTGCCATAAAGCCCCGACTGGTGGAGGGCTGCAGTGATAGTTGACTTTGTGGAACTTTCTCCCATCTCCCTACTGCATCTCTGGAGCTCAGCCACAGTGATCTTTGGGTTCTTCTTTACCTCTCTCACCAAGGCTCTTCTCCCACGATTGCTCAGTTTGGCTGGACGGCCATGTCTAGGAAGAGTTCTGGTCGTCCCAAACTTCTTCCATTTAAGGATTATGGAGGCCACTGTGCTCTTAGGAACCTTGAGTGCTGCAGAAATTCTTTTGTAACCTTGGGCAGATCTGTGCCTTGCCACAATTCTGTCTCTGAGCTCCTTGGGCAGTTCCTTCGACCTCATGATTCTCATTTGCTCTGACATGCACTGTGAGCTGTAAGGTCTTATATAGACAGGTGTGTGCCTTTCCTAATCAAGTCCAATCAGTTTGATTAAACACATCTGGACTCCAATGAAGGAGCAGAACCATCTCAAGGAGGATCAGAAGAAATGGACAGGATGTGAGTTCAATATGAGTGTCACAGCAAAGGGTCTGAATACTTATGACCATGTGATATTTTAGTTTTTCTTTTTTAATAAATTTGCAAAAATGTCTACATTTCTGGTTTTTTTCTGTCAAGATGGGGTGCTGAGTGTACATTAATGAGAAATAAAATGAACTTTTCTGATTTTAGCAAATGGCTGCAATGAAACAAAGAGTGGAAAATTTAAAGGGGTCTGAATACTTTCCGTACCCACTGTATATAAGGGAGAGCATTCTGGAAGTCTGGAGAGAATACTCGTGATGTGGTCTAGTCCAGGTACAGTTAGCTAATAGGAGTCATGCTTAGCTGTGGCTAAGCGATTCACTAGATCTATGTGTGGAGCTCAAAACATTTATTCCACTGTCTTCTGATTTTGTCTATTTGTAAAATTCTATTTGCTTATAACTTGCATTTATAGCTTTTTTGTTTATATTATTAGTCTACATCTTGAGTTAAGGATTGTATTTTGTTTCAACAACTTGTTTAATATGAAATTTATTATGAAGTTATAGTCCTTGCAAAAAAAATCTGTCTGTGGTTTTAGTTCTTTACGTCAAAGCAACAGTCTGATTGAATTATTTTTGGTAAATTTGATTATATTTTTGGCATGATAAAAAATCTGAAATGTGACCCTCATCTAGCGGCAGCAAAAGATCCAGAAGGACCGGCTGATGAATGATTTCTCAGCGGCTCTCAACAACTTCCAAGCAGTCCAACGACGTGCAGCAGAGAAGGAGAAAGAGTCAGTAGCCAGAGCGAGAGCTGGATCCCGCTTATCAGTAAGTAGCAATGAGTGATGGTTTAACACCACATGATGAAGGATAAAGAGATCAGAGATAGTGGTGATGAAAACTTAAACTTCACTGTCTTGACAATATATGTTATACATATACATATACCTATACATAATAGTGGGTTTTTCCTTTTCCTTAGACTGAAGACAGTTCTCGGGATGAAAAGCTTGTTTCTTTTGATAAGTAAGTGACTTTCTCTTCTTCTTTTTTGGGGGAATGTGAAAACTTTGCAAGATGTATTATAAAGGTCCAAATGATTCATTACGATTAATTAATCACATTAAGACATGAAATTAATAATATTATGAATTAAAGCTGCGAGCAGCGTTGGGCGGGACCTCGCACCCGAATATATGAAGTTTATGGGAAATTGGACATTGCACACTGAAGTTATGAGTGCTGCTTTATGGCGAATTGGCTGAATTCGACAAGTCGTCACCGGCACGGTCATTTCACGTAACTCAGCTCAAAATCGCCACGCAGCGCTTACTTCCTGTTACCAGTAGATGCCGCTATCACTGTGTCTGAATATTGTCATGTAGAGTTTCATTGAGATTGGCTCATGTACACTAAAGTTGTGAGGACGAAAAATTCCCTGAAAATGCGCACGGAATTCACTATGGCCAACTTTGAGGGCACGCCACGGACACGCCCTTCTACGTACATGCACAAATAGCACAACCTGTAATCAGAACCATTTTTTGACTGTACTCACAAATTTTGAAGCATATCCGATGAATTCCCTAGGAGGAGTTCGTTCACATACAAGGCGAAAAGTTCACTGAAATTGAAAATGTAAATAAAAATGGCCGACTTCCTGTGGGATTTGGGGTATGGGTCCAAGAGGCTTTTTTGTACGTCCCGGCATTTTAAACGAGTTTCGTACATATCGGTGAAATGTGGCGACGGGGCACACATGCGAGAAATTCATGGAAAATGCGCACGGAATTCACTATGGCCAACTTTGAGGGCACGCCACGGACACGCCCTTCTACGTACATGCACAAATAGCACAACCTGTATTTAGAACCATTTTTTGACTGTACTCAGAAACTTTGAAGCATATCCGATAAATTCTCTAGGGAAGTTCATTCAAATACAAGCCCAAAAAGTCAAAATGACCACAAAATGGCTGCCAAGAGTGAAAATTTTAAATTAAAATAGCCGACTTCCTGTGGGATTTGAGGTATGGGTCCAAGAGGCTTTATTGTACGTCCCGGCATTTTAAATGTGCCCACCGAGTTTCGTACATGTCGGTGAAACGTGGCGCCGGGGCTGATGTTTTTTTATCCTGTAGGGGGCGCTACAAGCACGACAAACAGGATTTTTGGTATGTGAGCTTCAGGCACCACTCTACACGTGCCCTGTGAATTTCATATTCATAACTATTACGGTCTCTGCAGAGTGATTTACCCTGCCACCAGAGCGCCACCTAGTGGCGTGATTTTTTTTTCCTTTTTAGGGGACCATCAGGGAGCCATGGGCAAGCATCATACCAAGTTTCATTTTAATCACACTTGCCGATGCAGAGATATAAACTTCTTCATTTTAAAGAGCGCCACCTTGTGGTGATGACCTGAAATCGTGCACGATACATAATGAAGACATCTGGAACTAATCACCAAAGGTTGGTGTAAATCGGACATACCAATGTGGAGAAATACCCCACTTCCTTTTTTGACGAAAAATCAACAGGAAGTGCTATTTTTATAACTTCCTTATTTTTTAAAATATCAAAATTCTTCAAATTACTTTTGTTGTCAGGACGGTCCACATGTGCTACGTGCAAAATTTCGTGCGAATCGGATAAAAAAAACATATAGACTAAAAAGGCCCCCTCTAAGGAAAATTTTTTAGAAAATAGGGAGTTATTAGCCTATCAAAATTTGCCTACAAATTGCGCCACCTAGTGGCCTTCCTACTGGCTGATCTGCATGTGACGCATAGAATATCTAAGTTAAATCAGGCTTGACATGTCTGCCAAATAAAATTGAGACTTCGTAAATGTTCGGGGCTCAAAAACGCAGTTGAAGTCGACTAGAAATAATTTTAAATTAAAGCTGCAAGCAGCGTTGGGCGGGACCTCGCACTCCACGCAACTCGGGGTGCGCTGCGGACGTGTCGCGTGCCGTCGTAACACGTGCGGACCACAACACGAAAATGTCACGTACATCAACTCAAAATCGCCACGCAGCGCTTACCAGCTGTTGCTGGAAGGTGGCGCTATTGCTATATCTTAATATTGTCATGTAGACAAGTTCAGGGCGGGACTGTTGTAACACACGTGAAGTTTCATTGAGATTGGACCACGTACGCTGAAGTTATGAGGACGTGTTCAGGGCGAGACTGTTACAGAATATATGAAGTTCACTAGAGATTGGACATTGCACACTGAAGTTATGAGTGGCATTTCATGGCGAATCCGCTGAATTTGACAAGTCGTCACTGGCACGGTCATTTCACGTAACGCAGCTCAAAATCGCCACGCAGCGCTTACTTCCTGTTGCCAGTAGGTGGCGCTATCACTATGTCTGAATATTGTCATGTAGACGTGTTCAGGGTGGGACTTATCAAACACGTGAAGTTTCATTGAGATTGGATCATGTAGGCGGAAGTTATGAGGACGTGTTCAGGGTGGGACTGTACACTGAAGTTGAGTACTATCTGTTTATGGTGACTGGTCGAAATTCAACGCAACGCCACGGGCACGCCGTTTGACGGAATGTCGTAAATAGCACAACTTTAAATCATGAATGTCTTTAGATTGCGCTGATTAAATTTGAAGTTGATCCGATAAATTCCCTAGGAGGAGTTCGTTCAAATACAAGGCGAAAAATTCACCGAAAATGCGCACGGAATTCACTATGGCCAACTTTGAGGGCACGCCACGGACACGCCCTTCAACGTACATGCACAAATAGCACAACTTTTAATCAGGACCATTTTTTGACTGTACTCACAAATTTTGAAGCATATCCGATAAATTCCCTAGGAGGAGTTCGTTCAAATACAACGCGAAAAGTTCACCGAAAGTGAAACTTTAAATCAAAATGGCCGACTTCCTGTGGGGTTTCGGGTATGGGTCCAAGAGGCTTTTTTGTACGTCCCGAGATTCTAAACGGGCCTACCGAGTTTTGTACATATCGGTGAAACGTGGCGCCGGGGCTTCTGTTTATTTATCCTGTAGGGGGCGCTACACACAGGACAAACACGATTTTTGGTATGTGAGCTTCAGGCACTACTCTACACGTGCCCTGTGAATTTCATATTCATAACTATTACGGTATATGTACAGTGATTTTTCATGCCAAAAGAGCGCCACCTAGTGGCATATTTTTTTTGTCCTTTTTAGGGGAGCCTCAGGGAGCCATGGGGAAGCATCGTACCAAGTTTCATCTTATTCACACATACCGTTGTAGAGATATAAACGTCTTCATTTTAAAGAGCGCCACCTAGTGCTGATGGCCTGAAATTGTGCACGATGCTTAAGGAAGACACCTGTAACTATGCACCCAAGTTTGGTGTCAATCGGACATACCAATGTGGAGAAATGGTCCACTTCCTTTTTTGATGAAAATTTCACAGGGAGTGCTAATTTTATAGCGTGCTTATTGTTTGAAATTTCGAAAATGTTCAAATTGCTTTTTTTGCCAGGGCGGTCCCCAGGTGCTAGGTGGAAAATGTCGTGCGAATCGGACAAAGCGTGTAGGTGGAACACGAAAAAGTAGTTTAACGACATTTCGCACTCTAACGAAAAAAAATTATAGGCGGAAGTGGGCGGGGCCTATATAGGAAGATTCAGCTCCATTCACTGAACGCGTGGATATAAGTTTCTTGAATGTGCGAGCAAATATGCAAAAGTTATTAAGTAACAAAAAAGTGAAAATTCTTTTCTCAATAGTAGCGCCACCTAGTGGCAGACCCAAAAGTGACACATGTAAACTCCGCATTTTCACCAGGCCTGACAACTTTGCCAAATAAAATTGACGTGCCCTGTGAATTTCATATTCATAACTATTACGGTGTCCGTACAGTGATTTTTCATGCCAAAAGAGCGCCACCTAGTGGCGTATTTTTTTTGTCCTTTTTAAGGGAGCCTCAGGGAGCCATGGGGAAGCATCGTACCAAGTTTCATCTTAATCACACATACCGTTGTAGAGATATAAACGTCTTCATTTTAAAGAGCGCCACCTAGTGCTGATGGCCTGAAATTGTGCACGATGCTTAAGGAAGACACCTGGAACTATGCACCCAAGTTTGGTGTCAATCGGACATACCAATGTGGAGAAATGGTCCACTTCCTTTTTTGATGAAAATTCCACAGGAAGTGCTAATTTTATAGCGTGCTTATTGTTTGAAATTTCGAAAATGTTCAAATTGCTTTTTTTGCCAGGGCGGTCCCCAGGTGCTAGGTGAAAAATTTCGTGCGAATCGGACAAAGCGTGTAGGAGGAACACGAAAAAGTAGTTTAACGACATTTCGCACTCTAACGAAAAAAAATTATAGGCGGAAGTGGGCGGGGCCTATATGGAGAGATTCAGCTCCATTCACCGAACGCGTGGATATAAGTTTTTTGAATGTGCGAGCAAATATGCAAAAGTTATTAAGTAACAAAAAAGTGAAAATTCGTTTCTCAACAGTAGCGCCACCTAGTGGCAGACCCGAAAGTGACACATGTAAACTCCGCATTTTCACCAGGCCTGACAACTTTGCCAAATAAAATTGACTTTTCGTATATGTTCAGGGGGGTAAAAATGCAGTCAAAGGGTCCTAAAAATAATAATAATAATAATAATAAGAAACGAACCAAAAACAATAGGGACCTCCAGCGGTCGCTTGCGAGGTCCCTAATAATAAGAAACGAACCAAAAACAATAGGGACCTCCAGCGGTCGCTTGCGAGGTCCCTAATAATAATAAACAAAGCAAAAACAATAGTGACCTTCCAGTTCATACTGGCTCGGTCCCTAATAAATACAAACAATAATATTAAAGCTGCAAGCAGCGTTGGGCGGGACCTCGCACTCCACGCAACTCGGGGAGTTCTGCGGCCACGTCGCATGCCGTCGTAACACGTGCAGACCACAACATGAAAATCTCACGTAAATTAGCTCAAAACCGCCACACAGCGCTTACTTCCTGTTGCCAGTAGGTGGCGCTATCACTATGCCTGAATGTTGTCATGTAGACATGTTCAAGGCGAGAGTGTTATCAAACACGTGAAGTTTCATTGAGATTGGACCACGTACGCTGAAGTTATGAGGACGTGTTCAGGGCAAAACTTCAAAATTTTGAAGTTGATCTGATAAATTCACTAGGAGGAGTTTGTTCAAATACTAGGCGAAAAATCACAGAAAATGAGCACGGATTTCAAAATGGCTGACTTTGATGCCACGCCACGGACACGCCCTTTAATGTACATGCACAAATAGCACAACTTTTAGTCAGCAACATTTCTTGACTGTACTGACAAATTTTGAAGTAGATCCAATGAATTCCCTAGGAGGAGTTCGTTCAAATACAAGGCGAAAAGTTCGCCGAAAGTGAAAATCAAAATCAAAATCGCCGACTTCCTGTGGGGTTTGAGGTATGGGTCCAAGAGGCTTTTTTGTACTTCTCGACATGTTACACGTGCCTACCGAGTTTCATACATATCGGTGAAACGTGGCACCGGTGCTGCTTTTTTATTATCCTGTAGGGGGCGCTACAAACACGACAAACACGATTTTTGGTATGTGAGCTTCAGGCACCAGTCTACACGTGCCCTGTGAATTTCATACTCGGAACTATTACGGTCTCCGCACAGTGATTTACCATGCCACCAGAGCGCCACCTAGTGGCGGGTTGTTGACACATTTTTTAGTGAGCCTCAGGGAGTCATGGGCAAGCATCGTACCAATTTTAATTTTAACCACACGTGCCGTTGTAGAGATATAAACTTCTTCATTTTAAAGAGCGCCACCTAGTGGTGATGGCCTGAAACTGTGCAAGATGCCTAAGGAAGACATGGGGAACTATCGACCCAAGCTTTTTGTCAATCAGACATACTAATGTGGAGAACGTGCTTATTTTCTGAAATATCAAAATTCTTGGAATTACTTTTTTATTAGGACGGTCCCCAGATGCTACGTGAAATTTTTTGTGCGAATCGGATAAAGCGCATGGGGGAACACGGAAAAGTAGTTTATGGACATTTCGCGCTCTAGCGGAGAAAAATTATAGGCGGACATGGGCATGGCCTATATGGGGAGATTCAGCTCTATTCACCGAACGCGTGGATACAAGGTTTTTGAATGTGCGACAAACTATGCAGAAGTTATTAGCCTAAACGCATTTTTTATGATAGTAGCGCCACCTAGTGGCCAATCCAAAAGTGACACACAGAATATCCCCATTTTCACCAGGCCTGACAACTTTGCCAAATAAAACTGAGTTTTTGTATAGGTTCAGGGATGCAAAAATGCAGTCAAAGGGGGCTAAAAATAATAATAGGTAAGAAGAAGAAGAAACACAGCAAGTCGGTCGCTGGCTCGGTCCCTAATTGCACAGTCAACTTGGAACTTGTCAACAATAGATACTTGTCACTGACGGCCAAAAATATAGAAAAGATTTCAAATGTCAATATAGAACAAATCAAACAAAGCTGTGATTGTATTGGGTTTTTTTCTAATCATATTTGTTGTCATATGTGCAATCAAACACAGTATAATGAATAGCAAAATTCATTCTTTGCATTTAACCCATCTACCCTAATTGGAATGTAGTGGGCAGCCACGGTGCTGTGCCTTGGGAACAACTCCTAATCTAAACCAGTGCCTGGGAGAAATATAAAGATATCATGAAGGAAGATCATCTTTACTTTATTAGTAAATACTTACTGTACAGGCCTTTGTAGTCTTCTGACCAGTAAAAGCGCTGTACACTACATGCCACATTCACCAATTCATACAATAATGGCAAAGGCCATCACACACAGAAACTATTTCTCATTCATACACTAATCAGGACACTGCTTCGACATGCAGCGAGAGGAGCAGGGATTGAACCACCAACCTTCTGATTACTGGACAACCTGCTCTACCTCGTGAACCATGGCTGTCCAACACAATATTATTAACACAATATTGAAAATAATTGACACATATTATTCAAACTCTTTACATATTTTTCTTAAATGATTTCCTATCTGTGTAAAGCCAAGAGGACTGGGGTCAGATTACTACACAGACAGAGGAAGTGGCTATCACAGAGGAGGACCTGGAGCTCATCAAGGAGAGAGAAACCAATATCAGACAACTGGAGGTTAGCCTTTGTTTGCTATTTCTAATATTAATACATATGAGGGCACAGTGGAAGACTATCAGCCCCCTTATTTCTAGGGATGATACACCTGCCATTGCTGATTCTATTATTTTTGTCTGTTTCAGTCTGACATTATGGATGTAAACCAGATCTTTAAGGACCTGGCGGTGATGATCCACGATCAGGGAGAGATGATTGGTGAGTAGCAATGGGGTTGTTATTCGAGACACATCAAAACAGCTGATCTTGTATAAAAAATGTAACGTGGGCGCCCGGTTAGCTCAGTCGGTAGAGCTGGCGACCCATGTATGGAGTTGCTGCAGCGGCCCGGGTTCGAAACCTTTTGCTGCGTGTCATCCCCTCTCTCTCTGCCCCCCCTTTCCTGTCCATCTTCAGATGTCACTATCCAATAAAGGCAATAAAAGGCCAAAAAAAAACAAAAAAACAAAACAAAAGTAAGGTTATAAGAAGATTATTCCAGTTAGAGTTATGAGTTGATGAAAGAAATACAACGTTTGACGTCATTTACTATTTTATTGATCCTAGCTACAGCAATACAGGCGGAGGTCCATACACACAAAAGGGATTAACAGGATGGTATTGTAATACTACTGAGCTGTTGATAATGGTTGTGACAAACGCAAGTTACAGTAGTCATAAGTGAAATATTTCTTAGAACTAACTGTTTTACATAGACTAGGCTAATGATGTTGGCAATACAGAGATCAATAAGAATTATAATTAAAGCTGCGAGCAGCGCTGGGCGGGACCTCGCACCCGGCGCGCCGCGGCCGTGTCACGTGCGGTCGGCGGGCGCCGAGGCCACGTCACATGCCATCGTAACAAGCGCGGACCACAACGCGAATATGTCACGTAAATCAGCTCAAAATCAGCTCAAAATCGCCAAGCAGCGCTTCCTTCCTGTTGCCAGTATGTGGTGCTTTCACTGTATCTGAATATTGTCATGTAGACAAGTTCAGGGCGGGACTGTAATACGTACGCTGATGTTATGAGGACGTGTTCAGGGCAAGACTGTTACAGAATATATGAAGTTTATTGGAGATTGGACATTGCACACTGAAGTTATGAGTACTGTTACATGGAAAATCGTCTGAATTCGACAAGTCGTCAGTGGCACGCGGTTTGACGTACAGTCACAAATAGCTCAATTCTTCATCTACAGTGTGTTTTGAAGAGACTGTCCAATTTTGAAGTAGATTTGATAAGTCCCCTATTTATCTTGCAATTTAATACTTGACTTCCAGCGGTTTCCTACTATGCTCCACGAACAATACTCCCTTGGAAATATGGTTTGTAGATGTGGCTAGTGGGAGTGGAGGGGTGTTTGTGTTTTATCACTTTGAAAAAAAAGACCACGGACTTCAAAATGGCCAACTTTGACGGCATGCCATGGACACACCCTTCAACGTACAGTCAAAACATGAACAGCGTTGATTCAGCACCATTTTTTGACTGCACTGACCAATTTTGAAGTAGATCCAATAAAACCTGTATGAGGAGTTAGTTCAAATAGAAGCCCTGAAATGCCAAAAATGACATCACAGTGTGACATTTGTTCTAAATGGCCAACTTTGACAGCATGCCACGGACACGCCCTTCAACGTACAGTGAAAAAATGAACAGCATTCATTCAGCACCACGTTGTGACCGTACTGACCAATTTTGAAGCAGATCGAGAAATTCCCTAGGACGAGTTCGTTCACATGCAAGGCGAAGATTCACCGAAAATGACCACGGACTTAAAAATGGCCAAATTTGACGGCACGCCACGGACACGCCCTTCAACGTACAGTTACAAATAGCACGGCATTCATTCAGCACCATGTTTTGACTGTACTGACCAATTTTGAAGCAGATCCAATAGAACCTGTAGGAGGAGTTAGTTAAAATAGAAGCCCTGAAATGCCAAAAATGACATCACAGTGTGACATTCGTTCAAAATGGCCAACTTTGACGAATGGCTGCCAAGACTGAAAATTTTAAATTAAAATAGCCGACTTCCTGTGAGATATGGGATATGGGTCCAAGAGGCTTTTTTGTGCGCCCCGGCACATTATACATGCCTATTGAGTTTCGTACATATCGGTGAAACGTGGCGCCGGGGCTGCTTTTTTAAAATCCTATACAAACACGACAAACACGATTTTTGGTATGTGAGCTACAGGCACCAGTCTACACGTGCCCTGTGAATTTCATATTCATAACTATTACGGTCTCCGCACAGTGATTTACCCTGCCACCAAAGCACCACCTAGTGGCGTATTTTTTTTTCCTTTTTAGGGGACCATCAGGGAGCCATGGGCAAGCATCGTACCAAGTTTCATCTTAATCACACATACCGTTGTAGAGATATAAACTCCTTCATTTTAAAGAGCGCCACCTTGTGGCAAAGGCCTGAAATTGTACACGATGCCTAAGGAAGACATGGGGAACTATGGACCCAAGCTTGGTGTCGATCGGACATACCAATGTGGAGAAATGGTCCACTTCCTTTTTTGACGAAAAATAGACAGGAAGTGCTAATTTTTTAACACGCTTATTGTTTGAAATATCAAAAATGTTCAAATTACTTTTGTTGTCAGGACGGTCTCCAGATGCTATGTGCAAAATTTCGTGCGAATCGGACAAAGTGTGTAGGAAACACGAAAAAGTAGTTTATGGACATTTTGCGCTCTAGAATGGGGAGGTTCAGCTCCATTCACCGAACACGTGGATATAAGGTTTTTGAATGTGAGACAAACTATGCAGGAGTTATTAGGAGAAATCTGCTAAAATAGCGCCACCTAGTGGCCTACCTAGTGGCTGATCTGCATGTGACGCATAGAATATCTAAGTTATATCAGGCTTGACAAGTCTGCCAAATAAAATTGAGACTTCGTATATGTTAACCCTTTAGGCGCCGGGTTTTATTTTGAAAAATACTAGATTTTAACATCTAAATTTCAGGAGGCTCTGGCTTGAAAGTGCTTTGAGATAGAGACAAAGTGTAAATGAGACAAATATTGAGAATGACCTAAAGTTTATCTAGGTAGTCAATTTTCCCATCTAATTTGCATATTATGACGTCATATGGTGACGGCCATATTGGATAATATAATTTCCATGAAATACCTGATATTTTGAAAGAGACTTGAACTTATTTCATCAGATTCACCCCCCTCCATCTATTTGTTACGTTGTCCACATATCAAATGAACAGGTAAAAGTAAATTGTAAGCCAACAGTCGTAAACTAGAACTATTACTACCACAAAGCTCATGTAAACAGTAGGCGTTTTTTATGATTTTTTACCCACTACCACCCCCCCATTGAGGACACTTTTTATTTTCTTTTTTATTCTCTTCTTCATTATTATTATTATTATTATTATTATTATTATTATCATTATAATATGATAATCATAATAACAGTAGGCGTCTTTTAGCTGCAGAGGCCTAATCTGATGTATCCAGATAAAAGTTTGTAGTATTTGTAGAGTGTGGAACCTCTCATTGCAAGGCACAGTACAGAGACAATATGAACAATATTGAGACCCCACCACATAGCCTAACAAATGGACAGGTACACATCCGCATCGGATGGCTGCGCCACTGCTGCGCATGGACGCACTGTGACCGGCGCGGTAGAAAGAGTGAACACTAACGCTGGTCCCAGCGCTATTCTCACCACCCCCGCTACTTCTACCACATCCATTAGCTCCCTTACTGATACTACGAGTTCGTGTAGTACTCCCACCTATGTTGGGCAAAGGGTCGTGTTTGTGCTTGTGTGTTTTCCTCACTCTGCCCGGCAGCGCCGGTGCAAAGACGCACCGTGACTATCACGTTCACTAAACGACCGGCCGTCATCTCCCAAAGGTACATTTTCCCCTTCAGAATCAGAGTCAGCGAATAGGAGACCCATCACTTCCCTAATCATCAACTTTTTGCTTGCCATTTTCGTTTATTTTGTCTCAATAACTCCTAAATCCAGCAATACCGCTTCAGCCTAAATAGCGCCGTGGCGCACTATTTCCGGTTTCTCGCCCAGCAGCTTGGACGGGTCTTCCTCAAACATTTTGCATTAAAACATGACGTTTTTCTGAGCTAAGGGTAAGTACGGGATGTCTGCCAACTAGTGGAGGGGAGTATGAATGAGATATAACGCTCTATTAGGAGAAAACAGCTGTTTGATTCAGTACCGCGTCCTGTCGCAATTTTGCGACTTTGGCACTTAAAGGGTTAAGGGGCTCAAAAACGCAGTTTAAGTCGACTAGAAATAATAATAATAAACATAGCAAAAACAATAGAGACTTTCCAGTTCATACTGGCTCGTTCCCTAATAATACAACACCAATAATAAAATATAGTAAAATATAGTCAAAAATGTCTAAAAGTACTAAGTAATTCTTACCATAATGGCATTGCAATATAACTCAAGGCAGTAAAATTACCCTACGGGAAAAGCAATATAAAAAATTATTTGTTTATTTATATCTGTATAGGATACAGATTTAAAAAAAACTATTCAAGAAAATAAGGATTAAAAGTGCCTGTGGGCACATGTTTGAGCCTCTTACGAAATTGCTGCTCAGTCTGGAATGCTGGCCTGTTCAGAATAATTAGACAAAAACTGTAGTTACTGTGTTTTGGACTAGTTCTTGAGTCAAGAGTGATGGATAAAAGAAATTATAGTTTCTATCTGTGCATTAAAGGTCAAGTGTGTAACATTTAAGAGGATCTATTGGTAGAAATGGAATACAGTTTTCATAGGTATGTTTTTTTTTGCGTAAATCATCTGATAATAAGAATCATTGTCTTTGTTACAATAGAATGAGCAATTTCTATCAAGTAACTCAAGTATTTCAGTACTATGTAGAAGTAGTCTATTTGTATTTTGAGTATTCCAATGGCAGTCTCTGCTACTTTAGAAAGCAGCCTTCTGAGTACCTTTGCATAGTCATATCAGTGCACAATCCACAATAAAATAAAAAATTATTATTATAACCCTAACCCTATTGTTGTTGTATTGTTGTAGTTTTCCTGTTGTTTTCTTAAAGATTTCCTTATTTCTGCTCTTGTGACAGAAACCAGTTGTGCAAGGAGGGAGTGAAGAGGTGAACTGTCTGTATTTGTTGTGAATGCTACAAACTTTGATAAGTTCCCAGCTGACCTTGCTGTATGTTCTGCCCTGTAGATAGCATCGAGGCAAATGTGGAGAATGCTGAAGTTCATGTAGAACGAGGAACAGAGCAGCTCCAGAGAGCCGCCTACTACCAGGTGAGGCTGCAGCAGTCACTTTAAGTGTTGTCATTCAGTGAAGTCCCTGCCAATAACCATCCTGTCTCTGCTCTCTTCATCACAGCAAAAGTCCCGGAAGAAGATGTGTATCCTTGCCATGGTTTGTTCCATCGTGCTTGTCATACTTGGCATCATTATCTGGCAAGCTGCTAAGTGAAATGACTACACACAACTGACGTGTCACTACTATATTTTACTCTGCCTGCTCCCACCTGCAAGTATCTGCTTGGAATCACAAGAACAACAAAATGAGGCTAATCACTTCACCAAGGTCAGCGGAGTAGATCGATGCAGAGGGATGGTCGGAGTGGAAAACATACTTACCTGAACTGATCAAGCCTGTTTGTGTGAAATAGCTGTAAGACATCCTATTTACACTAAGAGGAGTGAATGGAGGATGGAGTGGTTAAGGGGGGTGATTTAAGATATGAAATTCCTTAATTTGCTTTGATTCATTCATTTCTTTTATTTACTGCACTAACTCTAGCTGTCACTGTATTTCAAATGTCAAAATGTTACAGGCAGTGATTTCAAAACAAATAAAATGAAAAAGCTTGTTAAAGTGAATTAATCTTTGATTTTTAGGGGCTGTAAAATATTTTTTGTTTCCTGTTGTTGTGGCATCTTCTGATAAGTGTATGAAGTGCCACTGTGGCTCCTGGTCCCCACAGTAACATTACATGGGACTTACATGACTCCTGGTGGCGATGTCAGCCGTGGTTGTAATATACATGTTGTAAAACGAAAGCTCTACTCAAATTACCAATATGAATCCAATCCATCTCTGTAAATATCACAGTAAGTGCTGCATTATATTCTACTAAGAACATTATGGATACATAATGGCAATATCTCAAAAATGAAACTCAAGTCTTGAAACGAAACATTTTTAAATTAATTTCTATGACTCCTGACAGTATGCATAATAAATGTCTTAAACACTTTTGCTTTTCTGGATGTGTCATTACTCAGTGGTTCTCCTCAAGGAGGTTTAGACATGAATTTGGGCTAGATTATGTTACATTGCTCAGATTAAGATTTTGTTCTTATGGGTTAATTACAATTTGCATTCTGTTTTTGTGATTTGTGGCATACTTTTCATGAGTTATGAGAATGGTAAACTCATCAATGTGAATGCTAAGATCTGGAAACATGGTAGCACCATTAAAAATTGTTCCAGTGGGTCAGTAAGCTCAAGAAGACAGACAATCGGGTTAAGTTTTCCTTAATTCTTAAATTAAAAAGTACCATGCATCACTATCTGTAACTGTTAAGACTTGGTTGCAAATTATTTGAGTTAGGACTTGCTGTGCCAAGCAGTTTGTTGTTCTACATACATACCTGATGTTTAGGAAATGTATGTTTATATCTTCATAAAATACACACAGTCACATTAAGAAAATGATGAAAGCTTATTCATGACAATTCAATTTAACTGTCATTAATACAGTGTGCAGACACGTAAACAAAAAAGATGGCTGCAGCTTCATCAAGACCCGACCAACATGACCAGGACATTCATTTCATAAAGTAAATTCAGATAAAGACACTAAGAAAAGGTGCAACTTGAAGTGAATGAAGTAGTGTACTACTACCTATCTAGGCTACAAACTAATGACATTTATTGACTAGGACAGCTAAAGATGGTCAAGAAAGGGGATGACACACAGCAAAGGGCCACATGTCAGATTTGAATCCATAGTCACTGCAGCAAGGACTCAGCCTTCTTCTGAACAGAAGGTGTCATCAGATAGTTTGTAGCTTAGAAACATTAGAAAATAATTTTTTTATGAGTAGTATTTCACGTCAAAAGGAATTGTTCAGATTTAACATATCCACTAAATAGGAGAGGGATATTCCAACTTTTTTATTAGTAGTAAGGATAACATCATCGACAAAAAACGATTTTGTGTGTTAAAGATCCAATTTGAAAATCACATATTAGGACAAATTGATTATCAAAGCAAGAACTTCTCAAGAACTCTAAACAGATATGGCCATTCTAGGCCATCAAAAGCCTTTTTGGGATCAAGGGAGAGTGCGGTATTGGGTATGTTATTTTCTTGAGCAGAATAGATAATAAGAAAAAAAGTGTAAGATGTCATGAACACGCTCACAAATGTTATTAGAGAAAAGCCTATTAAGTATAAACCCAAGGGGAGAAACATCTCCAACCTCTTGGAATTCATCTTAGTTACTAATTTATAATCAGTTCTCAAGAGGAAAATACACTGTACAAAATTATAAACGCTTTTGTTTTTGCCCCCATTCATCATTCAAGACTTTCTCTATGTGCACAAATCTCAAATATTGTTCAAATCTGTCAAAATCTGTTAGTGCCATCAATAAAATGCACCTGTGTTTAATTCAATTCAATTCAATTGTATTTGTATACGGCCAATTTATAACAGAAGTAAATAAAAAGAAAAGAATCTCAGGACACTTTTCAAATGGAGCAGGTCTAGACCGAACTCCTTATAACATTATTTACAGAGACCCAACAGTACCACCATGAGCAAGCACTTGGCGACAGGGGCAAGGAAAAACTGCCTGTTAAAAGGCAGAAACCTAGGACAGATCCTTCGGCTCTAGGTGGGTGGTCGTCTGTCTCGACCAGTTGGGGTGAAAGAGAGAGAGAGCGAGAGAGAGAGAAAGACAGACAGATAGACAGGTGCACAGCAACAACAGTAGCAACAAGTACACTAATAGTAGTGACTGATGATGATGAACATGACAACAGCAACGATGGGGGACAATGAGCAGTGACAACAGCAACAACAGTAACCGTACCCATAATAACAGCAATAATATTAATAACATTAATATCAGTGATATTGGCAATTGTAGTCAAGTAGGACCATGGCAGGTTGTTTGTTGTCCATAACACACGCCTGCCCATACCATAACCCCACCGCCACCATGGGCCACTCGATCCACAACGTTGATATCAGCAAACCGCTCACCCGCACGACGCCATACACGCTGTCTGCCATCTGCCCTGTACAGAGAAAACCGGGATTCATCCGTGAAGAGAACACCTCTCCAAAGTGCCAGACGCCATCGAATGTGAGCATTTGCCCACTCAAGTTGGTTACGACGACGAACTGCAGTCAGGTCGAGACCCCGATGAGGACGATGAGCATGCAGATATGCTTCCCTGAGACGGTTCCTGACAGTTTGTGCAGAAATTCTTTGGTTATGCAAACCGCTTGTTGCAGCAGCTGTCCGGGTGGCTGGTCTCAGACGATCTTGGAGATGAAGATGCTGGATGTGGAGGTCCTGGGCTTGTGTGGTTACACGTGGTCTGCGGTTGTGAGGATGTACTGCCAAATTCTCTGAAATGCCTTTGGAGACAGCTTATGGTAGAGAAATGATCAGTCAATTCGCGGGCAACAGCTCATGCTCCTGCAGTCAGCATGCAAATTGCACGCTCCCTCTAAACTTGCGACATCTGTGGCATTGTGCTGTGTGATGGAACTGCATATTTTTCGAGTGGCCTTTTATTGTGGCCAGCCTAAGGCACACCTGTGCAATACCCATGCTGTCTGATCAGCATCTTGATATGCCACACCTGTGAGGTGGATGGATTATCTCGGCAAAGGAGGAGTGCTCACTAACAGATTTTGACAGATTTGTGAACAATATTTGAGAGAAATAGGCCTTTCGTGTACATAGAGAAAGTCTTAGATCTTTGAGTTCAGCTCATGATGAATGGGGGCAAAAACAAAAGTGTTGCGTTTATAATTTTGTTCTGTGTAAGTGATAAGTGATACAATGGTCTGAGGCCACATTTACACATAGCCGGGTATTTAGAGAAACAATATTTCCCCCCCTCCGTTTTCAATAATAACATCGTGCACACATCGTTTTCAAAAAAGTTGTCATTTACATCAACCCGCATAAATACGCTGTCGAGTGCCATCATAACGATGCCAAACTTATGGGCAGCAGTGTAGGGAGAAGGATAAAGCCATGCAAGCCAATCAGAATCCTCAGAATCGACAACAACGAATAACACGAGCAGAGGAGAGACCTCTGTTTAAGTCTGCTCGCTTCAGGTATGAATTTATTGTCATATCATTGTCATGTATGTATTGTTGGCTTTGTTTCAATTAATGTATCCGTGAAATATAAGATAAGATAAGAAATACTTCATCAGAATAATTCATCCTGAAGGAAATTTCCCTGTCACAATAGTTCCGTCCATAGTGTGTAAACATACACATAAACGAGTAGTGGTAAAAGGCAAAAATGAAAAAGTAGATGAAGAGAAGTCACATCAGTCGTCCTCAAGTGCTACAACAGTACGGCAACGGGGAAGTGTTGTACAGTTTAATGTCCATTGGTAAAATAGATTTCCTGTGTATCTCAGATGTACATTTTGGGGAGATAAGCCTTCCAATGAAAGTATGTTTTAATTTCTGTATTCCTATAGTCTATTGTGAATCGTGACGTTTACTGTTAAGTACTTGTTCATAGATTGATTATGCTGAGGGAAATATAGGCCATCATTCATCATGGTAATATCAAATGTGATTATTTTTGGATAGGTTTACCTCTGCAAATGAGCATGTTTTAACACATTTTCTTTGGTCTACTCTGTAAAGGCTAAACTGAAGGGACACCGGTATGAACGGTTAAAGAGGAAGCTGCCCGCTGAGGCCCAGTGGCTGAATGCCGTTGAGGATGACAAAAATGTCAAGAATTAACTCGTGGAAATTATTGAGACCTCAGAAAAGCAGGCATCCGAAGATTTCTCCAAAATAACAAATACCCTGGATAGGCTAACATCATCAATTGCAGATGGGTTTGCTCTCCTGCGGCAAGTTGTGCAGACACCGCCACCACCATATTACAATATCCCATTTGGGTCCTTATGGACCAGTATATGCACACACGTCACCACTACACACACACTCCTATTTCCCAAATTCAGCACCAATTCAGCACTCATTCCCACCCAACTCGTCAACTGGAAACAGACCTCTTGAAGTTTTTTTTACTTAAAAAATGTTTTTCTTACTTGAAAAGTGCCTATTGCTTGAACAGCAGTACTGAAGAGGCAGCTTATATCCACTACTTTTGTTAATTTGTGAATTCCTCTTGAAGTCTAAGTTTACTTGAAATATGCCTTTATTTATTATTTGACAATTTGCACTACAGATGCCACTTATTTGCACTACTATGCTTGTCTGATTTTCTGGATTAATGACAAACAGGCAATTTCTTTTTGTGTCTGTCAAGTGTCAGATCTCTTCAGAAGTAAAATGTCTGAAACATGAAGATGTGTGTCTGTGATTATTCAATATGGGTCAAACCAGATCAACCTATTATAGAAAGCGTTCACACAGGACCATTTAGAATTTCTCATTCTTTATGTGGATAATGGCATTCTACCAAACAACATTTACACTTGGCAATGTCAATACATTACATCCAAGTGACTTGTAAACATGTACAATGTAAAGAACAGAAAACTGTAAACACATTTGCTTTAACATGTTGTAAATTTAAATGCTTAATACGCTGAAATGTAGCCAAAACATACTGCCTAAGTACTGGCATGTAAGGAGCACACAGTTTTTAGGTCTGTGATGAACATAGGCAAAATATTGTAAACTATGACAATGAGCAACTTTAAACTTTGAGATGTCATACAATGTCATACTGTCTGATACCCCACACACCCACACACAATGGAGAGAAGATTGTCCCTTTTATGGATCCAGGAATTAAGTGAGGATTCTCCTGACCCTCTCCCCTTCTGATGTCATGCAATCTCCTCTGGCAGCTCGTTGTGTGTCTGGCTGGTTTTCCCTGTCGTATTGAATTGCCTCAGCAACACTGTTGTCGTCTACCGTGTCCTTGGAAGCCTCACAGTAATTGTGCAGCATGAAACATGCATAAATTACAAAGGGAAGATCAGCCAGATTAATGTCCATGGCCCTTCTCAGGGCTCCGAACCAGGCTTTTAGTCTCCCAAACACACATTCTATCACCATCCGTGCTCGGCACAAAGATAGTCCAAAGTACTGCTCCTGGGCAGTCTTTCCCCCATTAACATATTCTTTCATAAGATATGGGAGCAGTGGATATGCAGGGTTGCTTAGTATGTAAACCGGTATGGCCTCTTGATCTTCAATGATTTGCCTTGGACAAGGAGGGATGCTTCTGTCTTTCAAGGACGTGTTAAGTGTGGAGTTGGCAAAAATACGGGGCGTTGTGCACGCTCCCAGGCCATTTCACTACCACATCCATGAAGGCATATTTATAATCGCAGGTAGCTTGAATGTTTAAGGTAAACCTCCCTTTCCTATTGATGTAATCAGTGGAATTGGCTGGTGGTTGCTTTATCTCTACATGCGTCCCATCCACAGCACCTAGGCACTGAGGGACCTAGGTTGTCTAGCTTTCCTGTGACGTGCTACGGTAAGCGTACTGACTCATTTCCAGTTTACTTCCTGCTCTGTGTACACTGTTTGGTGCTGTAGCTCTGTCAGTGAACGCTAAATCTAAAGTTGTTTTACTCGTTACAGCGGTTATTTACCCGCTTAACATTTAAACGTAGACTAGTTCTACTTAAACACTCGGAGTTTCTCCTTCTTTTAGCGACTTTTTCACTACTTTCGAAGTTTTTTCATACACGCTAGCTTCATTAGCATTAGCAGTTAGCTATGGCTTCTCCCTCTCCCTCTCCTCTGTCCTGCTCAGTGTGTCAGATGTTCAGTTATTCCTCTGCCTCCTTTAATGATAATGGTACCTGTATTAAATGTAGTTTATTTACTGCGCTGGAGGTGAGGCTTAGTGAGTTAGAGGAACGGCACCGCACCACTGAGATATCTTTAGCCGCTATAGTTAGCCAGCCCCCAGTAGCCGGTGCGGTCCGACCGAAGGTAGCTTCTGTTAGATCTGTAGATCCCCCGGTAGTTCCCGAGCTGCCGGGAAGACAGGGAGGCTGGGTGACTGAGCGAAGGAAGACTAAAACGGCGAAGCCCACAGGTCACCACCAACCCCTTCACGTTTCTAATACATTTTCCCCACTCAGCGATACACCCGCTGAGGAACCAACTCTGATAATTGGCAGCTCCATACGCAGAAACGTGAAGTTAGCGAAGCCAGCGGCCATAGTTAAATATATCCCTGGGGCCAGAGCGGGCGACATTGAATCAAATTTAAAACTGCTGGCTAAAGGTAAACGTAAATACTGTAAGATTGTTATCCACGTCGGCGGTAATGACACCCGTTTACGCCAATCGGAGGTCACTAAGATTAATGTGGAGTCGGTGTGTAATTATGCTAAGACAATGTCGGACTCCGTAGTTTTCTCTGGACCCCTCCCCAATGTGACCAGTGATGACATGTATAGCCGCATGTCGTCATTCCACCGCTGGCTGTCGAGGTGGTGTCCAGAAAACGATGTGGGCTTCATTGATAACTGGAAGCCTTTTTGGGGAAAACCTGGTCTGATTAGGAGAGACGGCATCCATCCCACTTTGGATGGAGCGGCTCTCTTATCTAGAAATATGGCGAAGTTTATTTCTAAAACCTGACAGTCCAGAGTTAGGACCAGGAAGCAGAGCTGCTGTCTTACACACTTCTCTGCGCTTTCTTTAGAACAGTCACCCACCCAAAACCCCATAGAGACTGTGTCTGTCCCCCGACCACCTAAATTATTTAAAGAAATAAAAAAAAAATAGTTCAACATAAAAATCTAATAAAAATTAAAACTAACTCCTCAGTAGCACAAAATAAGAGAATGAAATGTGGACTGTTAAATATCAGGTCTCTGTCCTCTAAAGCTGTTTTAGTGAATTAATTAATATCAGACTATGATATTGATTTACTTTGTCTTACTGAGACCTGGTTGTCCCACAAGGAGTATGTTAGCCTAAATGAATCCACCCCCCCAGTCATATTAATACTCACATTCCTCGAGGCACAGGCCGAGGAGGTGGAGTGGCAGCCATATATGATTCGAGCGTTTTAATGGACCCTAAACCTAAACTAAATTATAATTCATTTGAAAGCCTTGTTCTTAGTCTTTCTCACCCAAACTGGAAAACACTGCAGCCAGTTCTATTTGTTATAGTGTACCGCGCTCCTGGACCGTACTCTGATTTTATATCTGAATTTTCAGAGTTTCTATCAAGTTTAGTCCTTAAATCAGATAAAGTAATTATTGTTGGTGATTTTAATATTCATGTGGATGTTGACAATGACAGCCTTAGTAATGCATTTATATCATTAATAGACTCAATTGGCTTCTGTCAGAGTGTAAATAAACCAACTCATTGTTTTAATCACACTCTTGACCTTTTTTTATCATATGGCATTGATATTGAACATTTAATAGTCTTCCCACATAATCCTTTCCTATCTGACCATTATTTAATAACTTTGGAATTCATACTATTAGATTATAAGCCATTAGGCAAAACTTCCTACAGCAGATGTCTATCTGACAGTGCTGTAGCTAAATTTAAGGAGGAGATTCCTTCAGTGTTTAATTCAATGCCATGTCTGAATTTAACAGAGTCCTATAACGACTTTAGTCCCTCTGAAATTGATAATCTTGTCGATAGTGCTACAGGCTCACTACGATCAACATTAGACTCTATCGCTCCTATAAAAAGGAAATTATTAAAACATAGGAGACTAGCACCTTGGTATAACCACCAAACCCGCCAGTTAAAACAAATACCTAGGAAATCTGAAAGGAAATGGCGCTCTTCCAAATTATCAGAATATCGCTCAAATTGGCAAGATAATCTTAAAATTTATAGAAAGGCCCTCCGTAATGCCAGAGGAGCCTATTACTCAGCACTAATAGAAGAAAATAAGAATAACCCTAGGTTCCTCTTCAGCACTGTAGCCAGGCTGAGCCACATATCCCCATAAACTTAAGTAGCAATGACTTCATGAGCTTCTTCTATAATAAAATTATTACTATTAGAGAGAAAATTAATCACCAACTGCCATCAACAGTTATCAGTGGCTCTCCAAGTTCAGGGACTTCTGTCAATGTAAACTTAGATATATATTTAGACTGTTTTTCTGCTATCGATCTTCATCAGTTAACTTCAATCATTTCTTCATCGAAGCCATCAACCTGTCTATTAGACCCGATCCCAACTAGGCTGCTTAAAGAAGTTGTTCCCTTAATGGGCACTTCTTTACTGGATATGATTAATCTTTCTTTATTATCAGGATATGTACCACAGTCCTTTAAAGTAGCTGTAATTAAACCCCTTCTTAAAAAGTCCACTCTTGACCCAGGGGTTTTAGCCAACTATAGACCGATTTCTAACCTCCCCTTCCTCTCTAAGATTCTGGAGAAAGTAGTCGCCAAAGAGTTGTGTGAATTTCTACATAACAATAGTTTATTTGAGGATTTTCAGTCAGGATTTAGAGTTCATCATAGCACAGAGACAGCTCTGGTTAAAGTTAATAATGACCTTCTGACTGCTTCTGACAATGGACTTGTCTCTGTACCTGTATTATTAGATCTTAGTGCTGCATTTGACACCATTGACCATAATATTCTTTTAGAGAGACTTGAGCATCAAATTGGCATTAAAGGAACCGCACTAAGCTGGTTTAAGTCATATTTATCAGATCGCTCGCAGTTTGTACATGTTAACGATGAATCTTCAATAAATACTACAGTTAGTCATGGAGTTCCACAAGGTTCTGTACTTGGACCAATACTATTTACTTTATATATGCTCCCTTTAGGCAACATTATTAGGAATCACTCCATTAACTTTCACTGTTATGCAGATGATACGCAGTTATAGCTATCAATCAAACCCAATGAAATTAATCAATTATCTAAATTACAAACATGTCTTACGGACATAAAATCCTGGATGACCTGCAATTTTCTGATGTTAAACTCAGAAAAAAACAAAATTCTTGTTCTTGGCCCCAAAAACCTTAGAGACTCACTGTCTAAAGATATAGTTACTCTAGATGGCATTAACTTGGCCTCTAGCACCACTGTCAGGAATCTTGGAGTTATCTTTGATCAGGATTTGTCATTTAACTCCCACATAAAGCAGACCTCTAGGACCGCCTTCTTTCATTTACGTAATATTAGAAAATAGGCCCCCTTTCACAGACAGATGGAAAAAAACTAATCCATGGCATTTTACTCAACTGCATAACTGCAACTCTTTATTATCAGGTTGCCCCAATAAGTCCATTAAAACGCTCCAATTAATTCAGAACGCTGCAGCACGAGTACTGACAGGAACTAGAAAAAGAGATCACATCTCTCCTGTACTAGCTTCTCTGCATTGGCTCCCTGTAAAATGTAGAATTGAATTTAAAATCCTCCTCCTCACCTATAAAGCTCTTCATGGTCAGGCCCCTTCATATCTTAAAGAGCTCATAGTACCCTATACCCCTCTAGAACACTACGTTCTCTGAATGCTGGGCTACTTGTGGTTCCTATAGTCTCTAAAAGTAGAACAGGAGCCAGAGCCTTCAGTTACCAAGCTCTTCTCTTGTGGAACCAGCTTCCAGTTGTGGTTCGGGAGGCAGACACCCTCACCACATTCAAGAGTAGGCTTAAGACATTCCTCTTTGATAAAGCTTATAGTTAGGGCTGGATCAGGTGAGTCCTGAACCATCCCTTAGTTATGCTGCTATAGGCCTAGATTATCGGGGGACTTCCCATGGTGCACTGAGCTCCTCCCTTCCTCTCTCTTTCTGCACTCATTCATGTCCCATTAATGCATGTTACTAACTTCACTTCTTCCCCGGAGTTCTTGTGCTTTCTCGTCTCGCAGGTTCTCATGGATCCTGGTGGAGCCTCCTGCCATGGTCCTGCTTGACTGCCATTGCCAATACTGTTGTTGCTGTGCACCTGTCTGTCTGTCTGTCTGTCTCTCGCTCTCTCTCTCTCTCTCTCTCTCTCTCTCTCTCTCTCTCTCTCACCCCAACTGGTTGAGACAGACGACCAACCACCTAGAGCCGGAGGATCTGTCCTAGGTTTCTGCCTTTTAACAGGCAGTTTTTCCTTGCCCTTGTCGCCAAGTGCTTGCTCATGGTGGTACTGTTGGGTCTCTGTAATTAATGTTGAAGAGTTCGGTCTAGACCTGCTCTATTTGAAAAGTGTCCTGAGATAACTTCTGTTATGAATTGGCGCTATACAAATAAAATTGAATTGAATTGAATTGAATTGAGGGAGGCCATGAGCTTGCGCAAGTTGCTGGACAGCAGCTTTGGTTTTCGGCAGTGTCGTGTAACACTCAGCCTGGCAATCACGATACGTGTAACACTCAGAACAGCCAATTTAGGAGGCGTGTAACTCTCAGCCAGCCAATCAGGAGGTGGTTAACGCTCAGCCATTCATGAGGCCTTTGACACTCAGCCAGCCAATCATGACCCGTGTAACTCTCAGCCAGTCAATCAGGAGTCCTTTGACAGGCGTGTAAAACTCAGCCAGCCAATCAGGAGACGTGTAACACTCAGCCAGCCAATCAGCCAGCCATTCAGGAGGCCTTTGACACTCAGCCAGCCAATCAGGAGGCGTGTAACACTCAGCCAGCCAATCAGGAGACATGTAATACTCAGCCAGCCAATCAACAAGCCAGTCAGGAGGGGTGTAACACTAAGCCAGCCAATCAGGAGTGGTGTAACACTCTGCAATCAGGAGGCCTTTGATACTCATCCAGCCAATCAGGAGGCATGTAACACTCAACCAGCCAATCAGGAGGGGTGTATCACTAAGCCAGCCAATGATGAGGTGTGTAAAACTCAGCCATCAGGAGGCCTTTGACACTCATCCATTCAATCAGGAGGCGTGTAAAACTCAACCAGCCAATCAGGAGGGGTGTAACACTCAACCAGCCAATCAGGAGGCGTGTAACGCTCAGCCAGCGAATCAGAATGGGTTTAACTTTCAGCCAATGAGGAGACCTTTAACAGTCAGCCAATTAGGATGCATGTAACAATCAGTCAATCAGTATGCATGTAAAAATAGCCAATCAGGATGGATTTAACAACCAGCGAATTAGCATGCATGTAAAATTCAGCCAATAAGCATGCATGTCACATTCAGCCAATGAGGAGGCATTTAACAATTAGCCAATTAGGATGCATGTCACAATCAGCCAATTAGTATGCATGTAACAAATAACCAAAAAGGATGGATTTAAAAATGGGCAAATCAGGATGCATGTAACTAATAGCCAAAAAGTATGCATGTAAAAATAGAGTCGTGTAACACTCAGCCTGGCAATCACAACGCGTGTAACACTCAGAACAGCCAATTTAGGAGGCTTGTAACTCTCAGCCAGCCAATCAAGAGGTGGGTAGCACTGCGCCATTCATGAGGCCTTTGACACTCAGCCAGCCAATCATGACGCATGTAACTCTCAGCCAGTCAATCAGGAGTCCTTTGACAGGCGTGTAAAACTCATCCAGCCTATCAGGAGACGTGTAACACTCAGCCAGCCAATCAGGAGGCCTTTGACACTCAGCCAGCCAATCAGGAGACGTGTAATACTCAGCCAGCCAATCAACCAGCCAGTCAGGAGGGGTATAACACTAAGCCAGCCAATCAGGAGTGGTGTAACACTCTGCAATCAGGAGGCCTTTGATACTCATCCAGCCAATCTGGAGGCATGTAACACTCAACCAGCCAATAGGAAGGGGTGTAACACTAAGCCAGCCAATCAGGAGGCGTGTAACACTCAGCCATCAGGAGGCGTGTAACACTCAGCCATCAGGAGGCCTTTAACACTCATCCATTCAATCAGGAGGCGTGTAACACTCAACCAGCCAATCAGGAGGGGTGTAACACTCAGCCAGCCAATCAAGAGGCCTTTGACACTCAGCCATCAGCAGGCCTTTGACAGGTGTGTAACACTCAGCCTGCCAATTAGGAGGCGTGTAACACTCAACCAGCCAATCAGGAGGGGTGTAACACTAAGCCAGCCATCAGGAGGCGTGTAACACTCAGCCATCAGGAGGCCTTTGACACTCATCCATTCAATCAGGAGGCGTATAACATTCAGCCAGCCATCAGGAGGCGTGTAACACTCAGCCATCAGGAGGCCTTTGACACTCATCCATTCAATCAGGAGGCGTATAACATTCAGCCAGCCAATCAGGAGACGTGTAATACTCAGCCAGCCAATCAGCAGGCGTGTAACACTCAGCCAGCCAATCAAGAGGCCTTTGACACTCAGCCAATCAGGAGGCCTTTGATACTCAACCTGCCAGTCAGGAGGCGCGTTACACCCAACCAGCCAATCAGGAGGCGTGTAACACTCAGCCAGCCAATCAGGAGGCTTTTGACACAGCCAATCAAGACGGTTTTTGACAGGTGTGTAAATCTCAGCCAGCCAATCAGGAGGCATGTTACACTCAGCCAGCCAATCAGGAGGCGTGTAGCACTCAGCCAGCCAATCAAGAGGCCTTTGATACTTAACCTGCCAATCAGGAGGCGTGTTACACTCAACCAGCCAATCAGGAGGCTTGTAGCACTCATCCAGCTAATCAGGAGGCGTGTAACACTCAGTCAGCCAATCAGGACTATTTCTAACCTCCCCTTCCTCTCTAAGATTCTGGAGAAAGTTGTCGCCAAAGAGTTGTGTGACTACATAACAATAGTTTATTTGAGGATTTTCAGTCAGGATTTAGAGTTCATCACAGCACAGAGACAGCTCTGGTTAAAGTTAATAATGACCTTCTGATTGCTTCAGACAATGGACTTGTCTCTGTACTTGTATTATTAGATGTTAGTGCTGCATTTGACACCATTGAGCATGATACTCTTTTACAGAGACTTGAGCATCAAATTGGCATTAAAGGAACCGCACTAAGCTGGTTTAAGTCATCCTTATCAGATCGTTCTCAGTTTGTACATGTTACTAATGAATCTTCAATAAATACTTCAGTTAGTCATGGAGTCCAGCCAATAAGCATGCATGTCACATTCAGCCAATTAGGCAGCATTTAACTTTCAGCCAATTAGGATGCATGTCACACTCAGCCAATTAGTATGCATGTAACAAATAACCAAACAGGATGGATTTAACAATGGGCTATTCAGGATGGATTTAACAATGGGCTATTCAGGATGCATGTAACTAATAGCCAAACAGAATGCATGTAAAAATCAGCCAATCAGGAGGGGTGTAACACTAAGCCAGCCAATCAGGAAGTGTGTAACACTCAACCAGCCAATCAGGAGGGGTGTAACACTCAGCCAGCCAATCAAGAGGCCTTTGACACTCAGCCATCAGCAGGCCTTTGACAGGTGTGTAACACTCAGCCTGCCAATTAGGAGGCGTGTAACACTCAACCAGCCAATCAGGAGGGGTGTAACACTCAGCCATCAGGAGGCCTACGACACTCATCCATTCAATCAGGAGGCGTATAACATTCAGCCAGCCAATCAGGAGGCGTGTAACACTCAGCCAGCCAATAAAGAGGCCTTTGACACTCAGCCAATCAGGAGGCCTTTGATACTCAACCTGCCAGTCAGGAGGCGTGTTACACTCAACCAGCCAATCAGGAGGCGTGTAACACTCAGCCAGCCAATCAGGAGGCTTTTGACACAGCCAATCAAGAGGGTTTTTGACAGGTGTGTAAATCTCAGCCAGCCAATCAGGAGGCATGTTACACTCAGCCAGCCAATCAGGAGGCGTGTAGCACTCAGCCAGCCAATCAAGAGGCCTTTGACACTCAGCAAATCAGGAGGCCTTTGATACTTAACCTGCCAATCAGGAGGCGTGTTACACTCAACCAGCCAATCAGGAGGCCTGTAGCACTGAACCAGCCAATCAGGAGGCGTGTAACACTCAGCCAGCCAATCAGGAGGCTTTTGACACAGCCAATCAAGATGGTTTTTGACAGGTTTGTAAATCTCAGCCATCCAATCAGGAGGTGTGTTACACTCAGCCAGCCAATCAGGAGGCGTGTAACACTTAGCCAGCCAATCAGGAGGCATGTACACATACGATAAGCCAAGACATTAGACTCATTGCAAGTGTGACGTGTTACGGTAAGCATACTGACTCGTTTCCGGTTTACTTCCTGCTCTGTGTACACTGTTTGATGCTGTAGCTCTGTCAGTGAACGCTAAATCTAAATTTGTTTTACTCGTTACAGCGGTTATTTTCCCGCTTAACATTTAAACGTAGACTAGTTCTACCTAAACAAGAAGTTATTCCTTCTTTTAGCAACTTTTCGCTATTTTCAAAAGTTTTTCATGCACGCTAGCTTCAGTAACATTAGCAGTTAGCTATGGCTTCTTCCTCTCCCTCTGCTCTGTCCTGCTCAGCGTGCCAGATGTTCAGTTATTCCTCTGCCTCCTTTAATGATAATGGTTCATGTATTAAGTGTAGTTTATCTACTGCGCTGGAGGCGAGGCTGGAGGCGAGGCTTAGTAAGTTAGAGGAACAGTACCGCACAACAGAGATATCTTTAGCCGCTATAGTTAGCCAGCCCCCAGTAGCCGGTGCGGTCCGACCGAAGGTAGCTTGTGCTAGCCGTCCCTCGGTAGATCCCCCGTTAGATCCCCCGGTAGATCCCGAGCAGCCGGGAAGACAGGGAGGCTGGGTGACTGAGCGAAGGAAGACTAAAACGCCGAAGCCCACAGTTCACCGCCAACCCATTCACGTTTCTAATAAATTTTCCCCACTCAACAACACACCCGCTGAGGAACCAACTCTGATTATTGGTGGCTCCATAGTCAGAAACGTGTAGTTAGCGAAGCCAGCGGCCATAGTTAAATGTATCCCTGGGTCCAGAGCGGACGACATTGAATCGTATTTAAAACTGCTGGCTAAAGATAAACGTAAATATAGTAAGATTGTTATCCACGTTGGCGGTAATGACACCCGTTTACGCCAATCGGAGGTCACTAAAATTAATGTGGAGTCGGTGTGTAATTATGCTAAAACTATGTCGGACTCCGTAGTTTTCTCTGGACCCCTGCCCAATGTGACCAGTGATGACATGTATAGCCGCATGTCGGACTTCCACCGCTTGATGTCGAGGTGGTGTGGACAAAAACGATGTGGGCTTCATTGATAACTGGAAGCCTTTTTGGGGAAAACCTGGTCTGATTAGAAGAGAGAAAAGAGATGGCATCCTTCCCACTTTGGATGGAGTGGCTCTCTTATCTAGGAATATGGCGAAGTTTGTTTCTAAAACCTGACAGTCCAGAGTTGGGACCAGGAAGCAGAGCTGCTGTCTTACACACTTCTCTGCTCTTCCATTAGTACAGTCACCCACCAAAAACCTCATAGAGACTGTGTCTGTCCCCCGACCACCTAAATTATTTAAAGAAATAAAAACAAGAGGAGTTAAACATAAAAACCTAATAAAAATTAAAACCAACTCCTCAGTAGCACAAAATAAGAGAATGAAATGTGGACTGTTAAATATCAGGTCTCTGTCCTCTAAAGCTGTTTTAGTGAATGAATTAATATCAGATTATGATATTGATTTACTTTGTCTTACTGAGACCTGGTTGTCCCACGAGGAGTATGTTAGCCTAAATGAAACCACCCCCCCAGTCATATTAATACTCACATTCCTCGAGGCACTGGCCGAGGAGGTGGAGTAGCAGCCATATATGATTCGAGCGTTTTAATGGACCCTAAACCTAAACTAAATTATAATTCATTTGAAAGTCTGTTCTTAGTCTTTCTCACCCATCCTGGAAAACACTGCAGCCAGTTCTATTTGTTATAGTGTACCGCGCTCCTGGACCGTACTCCGATTTTTTATCTGAATTCTCTGAGTTTTTATCAAGTTTAGTCCTTAAATCAGATAAAGTAATTATTGTAGGTGCTTTTAATATTCATGTGGATGTTAACAATGACAGCCTTAGTAACGCATGTATCTCATTAATAGACTCAATTGGCTTCTGTCAGAGTGTAAATAAACCAACTCATTGTTTTAATCACACTCTTGACCTTGTTCTATCATATGGCATTGATATTGAACATTTAATAGTCTTCCCACATAATCCTTTCCTATCTGACCATTATTTAATAACTTTTGAATTCATACTATTAGATTATAAGCCATTAGGCAAAACTTCCTACAGCAGATGTCTATCTGACAGTGCTGTAGCTAAATTTAAGGAGGAGATTCCATCAGTGTTTAATTCAATGCCATGTCTGAATATAACAGAGTCCTATAATAGCTTTAGTCCCTCAGAAATTGATAATCCTGTTGATAGTGCTGCAGGCTCACTACGAAGAACATTAGACTCTATCGCTCCAATAAAAAGGAAATTATTAAAACATAGGAGAATAGCACCGTGGTACAACCACAAAATCCGCCAATTAAAGCAAAAAGCTAGGAAATCTGAAAGGAAATGGCGCTCCTCCAAATTATCAGAATATCGCTCAATTTGGCAAGATAATCTTAAAACCTATAGAAAGGCCCTCCGTAATGCCAGAGGAGCCTAATATTCAGCACTAATAGAAGAAAATAAGAACAACGCCAGGTTCCTCTTCAGCACTGTAGCCAGGCTGACAAGAGAGCCACAGCTCTATTGAGCCACATATCCCCATAAACTTAAGTAGCACTGACTTTATGAGCTTCTTTTATAATAAAATTATTACTATTAGAGAGAAAATTAATCACCAACTGCCATCAACAGTTATCAGTGGCTCTCCAAGTTCAGGGACTTTAGCTAATGTAAACTTAGATATATATTTAGACTGTTTTTCTGCTATCGATCTTCATCAGTTAACTTCAATCATTTCTTTATTGAAGCCATCAACCGGTCTTTTAGACCCGATCCCAACTAGGCTGCTTTAAGAAGTTGTACCCTTAATTGGCACTTCTTTACTGGATATGATTAATCTTTCTTTATTATCAGGATATGTACCACAGTCCTTTAAAGTAGCTGTAATTAAACCCCTCCTTAAAAAGCCCACTCTTGACCCAGGGGTTTTAGCCAACTATAGACCGATTTCTAACCTCCCCTTCCTTTCTAAGATTCTGGAGAAAGTTGTCGCCAAAGAGTTGTGTGACTTTCTACATAACAATAGTTTATTTGAGGATTTTCAGTCAGGAGTTAAGAGTTCATCACAGCACAGAGACAGCTCTGGTTAAAGTTAATAATGACCTTCTGATTGCTTCAGACAATGGACTTGTCTCTATACTTGTATTATTAGATCTTAGGGCTGCATTTGACACCATTGACCATGATATTCTTTTACAGAGACTTGAGCATCAAATTGGCATTAAAGGAACCGCACTAAGCTGGTTTAAGTCATCCTTATCAGATCGTTCTCAGTTTGTACATGTTACCAATGAATCTTCAATAAATACTACAGTTAGTCATGGAGTTCAGCCAATAAGCATGCATGTCACATTCAGCCAATTAGGCAGCATTTAACTTTCAGCCAACTAGGATGCATGTCACACTCAGCCAATTAGGCGGCATTTAACTTTCAGCCAATTAGGATGCATGCCACACTCAGCCAATTAGTATGCATGTAACAAATAACCAAACAGGATGGATTTAACAATGGGCTATTCAGGATGCATGTAACTAATAGCCAAACAGTATGCATGTAAAAATCAGCCAATAAGGAGGTGTGCAACACTCAACCAGCCAATCAAGAGGCGTGTAATCCAATCCAATCCAATCCAACTTTATTTGTTAAGCACTTTAAAACAACCAAATTTGACCAAAGTGCTGTACAGGAGAATAAATAAGACATCATAAATAAACGACATAAAAGCTCACTTGAGGCGCAAAATTACATATAAAATACAACAATAAAATGAACAGAAAAGAAAATATGAGTAAAAACAATATAATAAAAGTAATTAATTAATAATAAAAGTCACGCAATAAAAAGCAATGAAAATAAGAAATTAAATCAAGTAAATAAAGTCGACATCTTACGAGGTGTCAAAGGCCACAGAGAAGAGATGGGTTTTAAAATGGGTTTTAAAAACAGACAGAGAAGAGGCCTGTTTATTAATTAGGAGCAGACAAAGCAAAGGCACGGTCCCCTCTGAGTTTCCGCTTAGTTTTAGGCACACTCAGGAGCAACTGAGTAAAATGACCTGAGAGAGCAGGCTGGTATATAGGGGTGTAGAAGCTCAGAGAGGTAGGGCGGGTCAAGACCATTCAGGGATTTAAAAGCAAATAAAATAATTTTAAAATGGCGTAACACTAACAGCTAATCAGGAGGTGTGTAACACTCACCCAGCCAATCAGTAGGCTTTTGACACAGCCAATCAAGAGGCTTTTGACAGGTGTGTAAACCTCAGCCAGCCAATCAGGAGGCGTATTACACTCAGCCAGCCAATCAGGAGGCGTGTAACACTCAGCTAGCCAATCAGGAGGCGTGTAACACTCAGACAGCCAATCAGGGAGCCTTTGACACTCAGCCAGCCAATCGGGAGGAGTGTAACACTCAGCCAGCCACTCAGGAAATGTGTTACCCTCAACAGGCCAATCAGGAGGCGTGTAACACTCAGCCAGCCAATAAGCAGGCATGTCACACTCAGCCAGCCAATCAGGAGGCGTATAACACTCAGGCAGCCAATCAGGAGGCCTTTGACATTAAGCCAGCCAATCAGAAGGCGTGTAACCCTCACCCAGCCAATCTGGAGGCGTGTAACACTAAGGCAGCCAATCAGGAGGCCTTTGACATTCAGCCAGCCAATCAGAAGGCGTGTAACACTCAGCCAGCCAATCAGGAAGCGTGTAACACTCTGCTAGCCAATAAGGAGACGTGTCACACTCAGGTAGCCAATTAATTCAATTCAATTTTCAATTCAATTTTATTTGTATAGCGCCAATTCATAACAGAAGTGATCTCAGGACACTTTTCAAATAGAGCAGGTCTAGATCAAACTCTTTAAAACATTAATTACAGAGACCCAACAGTACCACCATGAGCAAGCACTTGGCGACAAGGGCAAGGAAAAACTGCCTGTTAAAAGGCAGAAACCTAAGACAGATCCTCCGGCTCTAGGTGGGTGGTCGTCTGTCTCGACCAGTTGGGGTGAGAGAGAGAGAGAGGGAGAGAGACAGAGAGAGAGAGAGAGCGAGAGACAGACAGACAGACAGGTGCACAGCAACAACAGTATTGGCAATGGCAATCTAGCAGGACCATGGCAGGAGGCTCCACCAGGATCGACAAGAACCTGCAAGACGAGAAAGCACCAGAACTTCGGGGAAGAAGTGAAGTTAGTAACATGCATTAATGGAACATGAATGAGTGCAGAAAGAGAGAGGAAGGGAGGAGCTCGGTGCACCTGTTGTGGAAATTTCTCTGCTGCTGGTGAAGAATGAGATAGAGAACTTCTGCCAGCCGACAAGTTTATTTTCTTTGCAAAGAAAAGGTCAATCAACACACGAGCGGTCAAAGATGAAGAAAGACCCCGAAGATGGGGATATCTAAACATTTATACCTGAGGACCACCTCTTTCACACCCCTTTGTCTGCTGTAGGGGTCTGGCCCTCCAGGAAGTGCTTTCCCACCCCTCTGCCCACTGCAGACATCAGGGCCGACCCCCTGCTGGTGTGTTTTACATATGAGGTGTACTGCAGGATCTTGCATTCAGGTGCAAAGCCAAGTCCAGACATCACAATCTACAAAACACAAAAGGACCTGGCATCTTGTGTTAGGAGGGGGAGGTTGGGCATCTGCAGTGGCTGAAACAAAGAAACTGAATCTACCATTACACACCATGGGAAATCCCCCGATCGTCTAGGCCTATAGCAGCATAACTAAGGGATGGTTCAGGACTCACCTGATCCAGCCCTAACTATAAGCTTTATCAAAGAGGAATGTCTTAAGCCTACTCTTGAATGTGGTGAGGGTGTCTGCCTCCCGAACCACAACTGGAAGCTGGTTCCACAGGAGAGGAGCTTGGTAACTGAAGGCTCTGGCTCCTGTTCTACTTTTAGAGACTATAGGAACCACAAGTAGCCCAGCATTCAGAGAACGTAGTGTTCTAGTGGGGTAATAGGGTACTATGAGCTCTTTAAGATATGAAGGGGCCTGACCATGAAGAGCTTTATAGGTGAGGAGGAGGATTTTAAATTCAATTCTACATTTTACAGGGAGCCAATGCAGAGAAGCTAGTACAGGAGAGATGTGATCTCTTTTTCTAGTTCTTGTCAGTACTCGTGCTGCAGCGTTATGAATTAATTGGAGCGTTTTAATGGACTTACTGGGGCAACCTGATAATAAACAGTTGCAGTAATCCAGCCTTGAAGTAACAAATGCATGGATTAGTTTTTCTGCATCTGTCTGTGATAGTATGTGTCTAATTTTTGTAATATTACCTAAATGAAAGAAGGCAGTCCTAGAGGTCTTCTTTATGTGGGAGTTAAATGACAAATCCTGATCAAAGATAACTCCAAGATTCCTGACAGTGGTGCTAGAGGCCAAGTTAATGCCATCTAGAGTAACTATATCTTTAGACAGTGAGTCTCTAAGGTTTTTGGGGCCAAGAACAAGAATTTCATTTTTTTCTGAGTTATATATAAAGTAAATAGTATTGGTCCAAGTACAGAACCTTGTGGAACTCCATGACTAACTGTAGTATTTATTGAAGATTCATCGTTAACATGTACAAACTGCGAGCGATCTGATAAATATGACTTAAACCAGCTTAGTGCGGTTCCTTTAATGCCAATTTGATGCTCAAGTCTCTGTAAAAGGATATTATGGTCAATGGTGTCAAATGCAGCACTAAGATCTAATAATACAAGTACAGAGACAAGTCCATTGTCAGAAGCAATCAGAAGGTCATTATTAACTTTAACCAGAGCTGTCTCTGTGCTGTGATGAACTCTAAATCCTGATTGAAAATCCTCAAATAAACTATTGTTATGTAGAAAGTCACACAACTCTTTGGCGACTACTTTCTCCAGAATCTTAGAGAGGAAGGGGAGGTTAGAAATCGGTCTATGGTTGCCTAAAACCCCTGGGTCAAGAGTGGGCTTTTAAGAAGGGGTTTAATTACAGCTACTTTAAAGGACTGTGGTACATATCCTGATAATAAAGAAAGATTAATCATATCCAGTAAAGAAGTGCCAATTAAGGGAACAACTTCTTTAAGCAGCCTAGTTGGGATCGGGTCTAATAGACAGGTTGATGGCTTCAATGAAGAAATGATTGAAGTTAACTGATGAAGATCGATAGCAGAAAAACAGTCTAAATATATATCTAAGTTTACATGGGCAGAAGTCCCTGAAATTGGAGAGCCACTGATAACTGTTGATGGCAGTTGGTGATTAATTTTCTCTCTAATAGTAATCATTTTATTATAGAAGAAGCTCATGAAGTCATTGCTACTTAAGTTTATGGGGATAAGTGGCTCAATAGAGCTGTGACTCTCTGTCAGCCTGGCTACAGTGCTGAAGAGGAACCTAGGGTTATTCTTATTTTCTTCTATTAGTACTGAGTAAGAGGCTCCTCTGGCATTACGGAGGGCCTTTCTATAAGTTTTAAGATTATGATGCCAAATTCTGATAATTTGGAAGGGCGCCATTTCCTTTCAGATTTCCTAGCTATTTGTTTTAACTGGCGGAGGCGTGTAACACTCAGGCAACCAATCAGGAGGCCTTTGACATTCAGCCAGCCAATAAGAAGGCGTGTAACCCTCAGCCAGACAATTAGGAGGCGTGTTACACTCAGCCGGCCATTCAGGAGGCCTTTGACATTCAGCCACCTAATCAAGAGGCGTGTAACACTCAGCCAGCCAATCAGGAGGCGTGTAACACTCAGCCAGCCAATCAGGAAGCGTTTAACACTCAGCGAGCCAATAAGGAGACGTGTCACACTCAGGTAGCCAATTAGGAGGCGTGTAACACTAAGGCAACCAATCAGGAGGCCTTTGACATTCAGCCAGCTAATCAAGAGGCATGTAACACTCAGCCAGCCAATCAGGAGGCGTGTAACACTCTGGCAGCCAATCAGGAGGCGTGTAACACTCTGCTAGACAATCTGGAGGCGTGTAAGACTCAGCTAGCCAATCAGGAGGTGTAGCTGCTGTCAGAGACAGTTATACAGTTTAAGTTTATTTTATACTTTTGAGTCAACAGTTAAAATAATTTACGTTTTAAGGGATCATATTTCTGTTAGCAATGTATTTTAAGAGCATGCACATACACACAGAGAGGGATGTGTATTTAATAGCGGAACTAATGTTATTATGTTGTAGAGGGGCGGGTCATTATTTAGACGCACTCTACACAGCACACGAGTAACAGAGCACCTGGAATGATAATTAGAAGATGACGTTATGAAGATACTTATTAATGCTACGGAGATTTGGATGAGACTCGACGTTTGAAGTTTCCTTTCTCACTCCCCTTGAATTAACGTGGCCAATGAGGTATGCAGAGTGATGTTTACATTATGTTTACACATGTTTAAGATGCTCACGGAGTAACGTGTTGACTTAATATTACCTGTTTCAATTAACGTAAACAACGCATGTTGTAAGCAAATCGAGTACATTATATACGGTATTTGTTATGTTTGTGAAATATTCCTTGATGTTATTCTATTTTGAAATGCTTTGTATGATATGAAACTCAATTTGTGATTTGTTTATTTTAATTTATCTAGTTCTCACGGCATGACTGACCACCGATGTGCAAATAAATGCCCGTGCATAAAAGGAACGACTTGTGTTCGTGATTTAAACTGGAGGGAGTAACAGTGAGAACTCAGCCTGCTCCGACACAAGTGATGAGATGACTTTCTGCACCTGCTGCGGACAGAGCTGCTAATGAGTGTCATCGCACTCTAGCGTCAAGCGGACATAAGACTGTGCATACGCCGGTAACATAAGCAAGTGGCAAAGAGTTCAATAGCATCGCGTGGTTACGCCAACTATAAGTAACACATTTAAAACAAGTTGAATGTTAAGAAGTGGAGTAGCCTCGCTAACTGCTTTAAAGGGACTATAAGTGCCAAAAGTGCAAAGTGTTATGGTGTTATGTACATGTTTCAACAAGTTACAAGTTAAAGTCAATGCTGATTTCATTCATACTGAGCAATTTTGGCGTGTGAATAACGTTTTAAAGATGTGCTATAAGTTTCAAAGTGTTTTAGTGTTATAGCATATACATGTTAAAGTGCCTGTTGATGCTGGATTTACCGTAGTTACACCTTTACTCAGCAACAGTACAACCACTATTTGTGTAAATTGCTAAGTGGTTAAAAGGGAAGTGTTCTTTGTGCATTACAAGTGGAAATAAGTGCATTTGTATTGTGAAAGGGTGTTCATATCACATTAAGTCACATTAACATTATTAAGTCAATTTAAACTATAAGCTGTTTAGCAACATTTAAGCTAAGCTAGTTAACTAATTTATGTACGAACAATATTGAAGATGTCTGAGTATGAATGTGCACATAATAAGTTGGACTTAGACAGTACGGATGAAGCTGTGGAGTTACAGCAGCAGTCTAGAACACAGGATAATGAAACGTTTGACACAAACCTATTAAAAGAAATGGACCTAAGTGCAGAGGCACAAGCTGCTGCAGAAGAAGGACCACGAAGGAGCCAGAGAACCCAAAAACTTACTGAAAAGGGTCAAGCACTCTATGATGCCAAATCCAAAAGCCTTCAGCATCGCTTCGATATTAATTACGACAAATGGAAAGCTCTTGCTAAGGAGGCTAAGAAAGCACTCAAAGGATCACCCTCAAGTGAGATCCTACAAGACCTCATAACCAAAATCAACCATGCTTCAACAGATGTAAAAGGAGTTTATGAAGACTTGCGCAAACACATGGTCCCTGATGGGGAAACCCGACGTCGCGTAGACACTTGTCATTCTGTCTCAATGCAGATCTTGGAACGCTCATGGAACCATCTTGAAGGGAAAGATAAAGTTCAAGAGTTTCATAAAGAACAAGCATGCAGGCCTGATACTAGCTCTGTGTTCTCATTATCAGCATCTCAGACGTTCAGTGCAAGTATAAAATCAAGACATTCAAGTCTGTCCTCTACCAAGAAACAAGAAGCTGCAGCGGAGCTAGCTGCAACTCAAGCTACTTTAAAGGTTCTAGAAGAAATGGAACTTGAAAAACAAGAGCTTGAAAATCTTGAAGCCGAGAATATACAGAGGCTTGCAATACAAGAAGCAGAAAATGCTGCAAGAAAAAAGGCA